TTTTTATTCCTATTTTATGAAATATGAAAGTGTCAATCAAGTGACGAATTGGAAATTCTTTAAAAAAGGCTGTTCCTTCCCTGCTGACAAGCTTGAGAAGCACAGTACAGAGGAGGTTTTGCCCACCCGCTACTTTCTGCATGGAGCCCAGGAGCTCTCTGACCTCAAGATGAACAAAAACAACAAAATAGCATGTAGTTGGCTGAACTCACTGGTGGTCAGAATCCAAAGGTCTCTCTTTTATCCCTGGGCACACACAGCCCCAAAATCATCTGAGCGTGGTTTCTGGGTCACTATCTATCTGACTCACAGCACCATATTCTGGGAGGAATTAGTGAGTTCCCTAAACCCATGCATGTGCAAAGAGCGGCTGCATGTGCTTTGGACGTGGGGGCTTGTCCAGTCATACAGTTGAAGAGCAGCTGAGAATCTTAACAATCATCTAATTGCTCCCCTGAGTTGTACAGTTGGGGACTCTGAGATCCCAGAGGGTGATGGCTTGTTTCTTTTCCCATCCTTAGTGTCTAGGAGGTATTTGTCATACAGTGTCTATTGGGGTCCCATCTGTGGGCTATGGAGAAAAAGGGCTTATCACAGAGATCAGAAGTGCAGTTCAGCTTAGCTGAACTGACACACCACAATGCCCCTAGCTGCTGAATAACTGAAGGAAGACAGCAAGGAAGGAGGCTGCAAGGCTGGAATGTGAATGGAGTCTCACAACCCAGGGGTGCGACTCTGCGCCACACACACAGAGGGCCTGGAAGCTCAGCCCAGCCCCAGGGGCCACGAGGCAGGACACCCCCACGGCTCTGGTGAGTCCATAGCTCAGCCTTCTTTCCCCAGGGTAGATTTCCACAGATGGTTAACCAGAGTCCAGAATGTGACCCACACCAAGGAGTCAATGCTGAGTTAGGCTTAACCTCCTCCCCGAAGGAATTACAGGTTGGATGGTGGAGGAGATGTGGAAAATCATCCCGATGCAATAGACAGAAGTACTGTGGGACCTAGAGGGAACTTCTGACTTTGCCACAGCCGAGGAAACTCTCCAGTGGGTCTTTAGGTTGAGTAGGAGTTGCAGGCAGGGAAGGTGGGGAGAGGCGCTCTGCTCAGGAGAGGAGATGGGTTGAAAGCCAGGAGGACTCAGAGGTCACAGCCATGCTTGAGAAACCGGCATTTCCACATGGTTGGACGGTAACGATCAGAGGAGAAAAAAAGAGTTAGGTCTAAGTGAGGGCACCAGAGTGGCGGGCACAGAACTCTGGGAAGGAAGATGCAGGACAGCATCTTGGGCAGGGGGAGAGGACATCCACCCGGGAGACATTCAGAGGAGGACTTGACCTTGTTCACCTGTGGGGCATGAGAGGGTTCAGGTTTGACTGGGGGGCTTAGAGCAATGGCAAACAAAAGAGGAAGCTTCTCTTGTGCCCACACCCAGTGTCACAGCCCAGGGGCCCAGTGCTAAGGGATGCTGCTCAGGTGGGCCTGGGGACAGGTCACCTGAGGTCTGACAAGCTGGGTAGAAATTGATGACCGCTGCATTTGAGGGATCCCTTATGTATTTTAGCCAGAACTTTTATGTATTTTCATGGAGAGGGTGGCTTCGGATGCCTAGGCCATACTGTTCTTGTGTTTTCATCAGCCTCTTAACTTCAGAACCCGCCAACCTATTCTTAGAAACAGAAAGCCTCTCAGATTTCCTAACCGCTGTGTGACTTTGAACAAGGCCATCTCTGGGTCTTAGTTTCCCTGTCTTAAAAGTAAAGCCAGGTAATCGCCAGGCTGCCCTCCATGACCTGGGTGAATTCTGGCCTTGCCTTGGCTGTGTGCCCCGTGGGCTCCTGTGCCCATGTCCCCACACCAGTGGTCACAGTCTTTCTCCTCTGCTTCAGCTCTGGCCCTGGGCTTCCCTTTTCTTGGGGTGCTTCCTCTGCCCCTTATGAGGATGCCTGTCCCCCCTCACAGCAGGCTTGGAGGGGGAACCACAGAAACACAGCAGCCACTTTTCTATCCAGCTCTGCAAATTCCTTGAGGTCTCTTGGGGAATGAGCCCTGGAAGAGAAACTAAAATCTGTGAACTCTAATCCTGACTCTGCAACCACCCAGCTTCATGAGACTAGTTTCAAGTCTGGTCAAATCAGATGACTGGATTAGATACTAAATTGCCTCCAGATCCAGCATGTTAGCTCCATGTAAAGTTTATGTCCATATCTAGACGTATCCGTGTTATTTCATTTGCATCTATAACAATTTAAAAAGTGATTTTCTATCCATTACACCAGGATTGTCACTACAGCCTTTGGAGGCAGGCAAAATGTGTGCATATCTCTTATTTATCTCTTGTGGGAAAACTGATCAACAAAAGGTCATAAGTTGCCTGAGGTAATGCTATTGGGAAAGAGATCCTATTGTAGAATTAGACCTGAATGTCAAATCCAAGTTTTACCAATTACTTGAGCATCAATTATTTTTCCCAACTGTAAAAATGAGGATGATAGTTTTTTTTTTTTTTTTTTTTTTTTTTTTGGTGCTTTTCCTCCTTTAGCTGGGACAGGGCTTGGGCACCAGTGTTGACCTTGCTGCTTAGTCAACCAAAGACTGGACACGAGGCCTAGAGATTACTCGGCTAATGCCTAGTGAGTCCCTACTTCAATCTAACTTAAGCCTCCTAACCCTACATGTCTGAGAAGACATTCAAAGCTCCAGAAGCATCGTGCTCAAATGCATATGTACATTTTGTCATGTTTGGGCAGGTCTTGCCACCTGTATTTGGCTGCTGTCAGTAAGGCAGCCCTGACCTTTGAGTCAGAAAACGTTTGAGTTACAATTTCTAGTCCTTGTTCTACCGTTCATTTACAATGTTGGCCTTGGTCAAGTTCATCATCCTTGCTGGACCTTAGCCATCCTGTCAGTAAAACAAGGTATTTCCAGTTCTAAAAACTATGATATTATGAAATGTACAAATGCACTTGAACTTGGTTAACTTGAAAGCAGGATCTAAGGTCTCCAGTGCAGCTCTTCCTCCTGGCAGAGGGCCGCTTGATCCATTGACATTACCTCAGTTGTTTATGCTGTGTGACAGTAATAGGAACTCAAAAAATATCTATTGCATGAACGAATGGGTGAGATTAGGTTTAACCATCTACCTGCTGTCACCCAGCAATTTGCAATTTGATGGAAAGGATGTGGGCCATGGATCAGAAAAATCCCACCAATGCTTATAAACATGGGACCTCTTGCAACTGTATCATCTCCCTGAGCCCTCTTGTCATCATTGGCAAAATAAGGCTGAGATGAGGATTAAAATAGACAATGTGTTTAAAGCATGTAACACAGCAGTGCATGATCAATGCTCAAGAACTGTTAATTATCAGTACTGATAGCTGAAGAAACAAACATTGGTGGCAACACCAAAGACCTGCCATTACTGATATCATAGCAATGACAGCTGCAATAATAATAATAAGTCCCTTGAAGTGGGTAGGTGGATTAATTTGTAGACTACAAAGTGTTTTTAGTTTTCATTGTAATTGCCTGATTTTATCTGCAAAATTATTCGAGGTAGGTTTGCTCCCATTTTACAGATGAGGACCCTGAGGCTCAGAAAAACCTAAGGACCTGGTCAAGAAAGATCACAAGGCCAACAGGAGCCAGAGCTTGGATAATTTGGGCCTTCTAATAACAATGGCCTGTGGTCCAGTACCCTTCAAAGGGACCTACAAAGCACTCAACGACCTTGTCTGATGTGAGAATGGAAGACTGGACACAACCCACCCAGCCTGGGCTCTCTGAGAAGTGTAGTGTGATCATTCATTGCCCATTCTTACAGTTGTTTGTCCGCGAGATAAACTAAGCTTTTTAAGATATTACATATCAGTTCTGTTGGTTCTCCACTTCAGGGCCCAAGAACACTTCTCTAATTTTGGTTTCATGGTCTGAACTACGATGGGATATTCCTACCATGATTTTACTTAAAAATAAGGTATTTCTCCCCACATGCCTTTTTTGTGTGTGTGTGTGTGTGTGTGTGCCTTTTGCCTTTTGCCTTTTGCCTTAGAACTACAGGCAAGCCAATGTCTTCAGGGAAAACTCATTCCTTCCTTCCTTCCTTCCTTCCTTCTTTCCTTCCTTTCTTCCAGGGATGGAACCCAGGGCCGAATGTGTGCTAGAAGCACTCTACCCATGAGTCACATGACCAGCCCCCAGGGAGCACTTCAGCCCTACTTAATTCACTAGGTAATGAGGGACGGAGAGAAGTTTGGAGTCAAGGAAAGTCACAGTGAGGTCTGGGCTCAGTGCGGCAATGGCTGGTTGTTGAGAGGTCTTATCCAGGGCAGTAACAGAGACAAAGGAATAAGGGGGGCAGAATAAAACCCTCTGGAGGTAGAATCTGCTGAACACCATAACCTTTTTGTAAGAGTGGGATCCTGGAAAAGTAAAGATATTCTGGAATTCTGACACTGCGTGGCTGGAGGGACAGTGGTGCTATTCATGGAGATGGAGAAGTTCAAAGGCAGGGTTGGATTTGGGAAGAAGACAAGTTTGATTTTGTACCTGAAATGGTGTGAGTTAGACCTGGATAGACCCCCAAAACACATGAGGCTGGGCTGCTCCCTTGCCTCTGGGTTTCAGTTGGGAGGGGGACCTCAGCTTTGCAGCCCAGGGAAGGAGTGGAAGTGTGGTCAGGCCCTGGGAAAGAGATGGCATTGCAAATGTAGATTTGGATGCAGACTGGTCCCTGAACAAGGAAATGGGAGAAACCAGGTCATGGGGAGGAAGGATGAGAACTTCTGTCTATTGAATGATCGCTCTGTACTGGACATTATGCAGTGGTTTTGTACATTATTTGAAAGATCTTTGTGCACTTAAATGGAGAAACCAATGGGAGGGATTGCTATTATTATGTTTTGCTATAGTTTGGATTGTAAGTGTACCCCAAATGTCCATGTGTCAAAGGCTTGGTCCCCTGCTGCAGTCTGGCTGGGCACAAAATCACGAGCCACTCAAGCAGGAACAAACTTTATTTCTGAAACTCCCATCAATGCCACGCACTCTCCAGGGAAATATGCCGAACCACACACGCGGCGGTTCTCCTGGGCCACACTACACCAACAGACAAATCCCTCCTCCGGCAATCCCTCCTACCGCACTTCCCCAACCAATGGGAACTCTCCGGGAGTCCCGGGAGTCCCGCTAGAGCTCCAAAGTAGCAGGTGGAGGCGGACAGCAGGGGTCTAATATCCATTTGAATGCAGATCTTAACATAATCATATCATCTCAATGGCTTTCAACCAAAAATGCCATGGCTCTCAGCATGTGCTTTTGAGAGGCAATGGAACCCTGAAGAGGTGGGACCTAGAAAGAGGTCCCTAGGGGCATGCCCCCAAGGGGGACAGCGAGACCCCAGCCCCTCTCCTTTCTTTCTTTCCATTCTAAGCCATGAGGTAGAAGGTTTTGCCTGCCACACGTTTCCACATGATGTGCCATCACAGGCCCAGAGAGTTGAAGCCTCTGAAACGGTGAGCAAAAATAAACCTATTTAAAAAATAAGTTGATCGTCTCAGGTGTTTGTTATCATAACAGAAAGCTGACTGACACACTAGGAGAACTGGAGTAGAGTGGGGCCGGGGTGTGGCTCAGTGGTAGAGGACTTGCCTAACACGTGCAAGGCCCTGGGATCCATCTCCAGCACTGGAAAAAAAAAAATAGGAGAAATTGTAATGAACTGAGAAATGAATGGAAGACAGAAGGTAAACCCAGAGAGCACAGAGTCCGCATTCATGAAATGTGATAGTGGGTGGACCTTGAGGGCTTTGGAAAGATGCAACAGGAAGATATCTTAAAGGTTGGAAGCAATGTGGCCATATTTATCACCCAAAGAAAGGAAGAGACAGAAGAGGCCAGAATGAATGTTCTGCTGATGGTTTGCCTCCAAGGTGCCCTTTGTCTCCAGTGTTCCCTCTGGATGAGCCGCAGCTGCAAGATGGCTGGAGGGTCATTCATTTTCACTCTCTCTTTCATGACCCTAACAGGCTCCCATCAGTGCCTCCTTGTGAGGGCAATCCCCCCATTTAGCGGGGATTGTGGGTGTGGGCTCCATTCCTGGAGGCCCTCTCTCCCCTGCTACGCACTCTGCCTGATCTGTTCACCCTCTTGGCTGGCTGAGGGGACCTGGGCTCCATGCCTGCAAGCTGGTACCTTTTGTCACTGATAAAGATGAAAGATCATGATGACATCCTGGCAGCACCCCTGGGAGGCTGCAGTCTTTGGTGCTCCTGGGGGAGCAGAGGGCCGATTCTGTGGGACAGGAGGAAGCCACAGGAATTCCTCCCTCTCTGAGATCACCCCTTTTCCTAAGTGACTCTGGGTGGGTTGGCTGAGCAAACACTCTCACCAGCTCATCCAAGCAGGCAGAGTATTCAATAAGAGAGGAACAGGAAGAGGGCAGAGGGTGCCAGGTGCTTCTAGTGGGAGATTGGTCTCATGAAGTCCCCTTAGTCCAGGCCTCCCTTCCTCAATCCTAAGCTAAATTTGCTGCATCCCTGGCTTCTCCCCACTTCTCATCCCAGCCCCAACCTGCCTCAGAGGGTCTCTTTCCACATCACAGATCCGATCGGGGCACACTCGTGCTGGGTGAATTTTCAAAGCTCTGCACTGGCTCCACCACGAAGTCCTTCATCCTGTCCTTATGGAGGCCCAAGAGGCTCCCCCAACCTGAAACCTGCCGGGAGCTGGCCTTGCTGCAGCCGTCCTGTTCATTCATTCGTTCCTGCCTTTTTCCCCCGCACTCTGTCTCGTGCCCAGCTGGCACCTGCTCCTAGGAACCCCAGCTTTCCCCAACTTTCCAAGGCTCACCTGGGAGACCTCCCCGGGTCTTCCTTTCAGATATCGTTCCCTCTCCTGAGCTCCACAGCCCTTTAAAACTTTTTCATTGAAGTGATCTCTGTATTGTGCTAATACTCTTTTGAAAAAATCCTCTTCTTGGTTCCATTTCAATAAAACTTTAACAGGCCTAAAAGTCACTGTACCCCCTGGATGACTTGCTTCATTCTCTCTTATCTTGTGGGGAAGCTCTAAGGCAGAGGTCTCGCCCTCTTCAGGTCTGGGGTTTGTGGAGTGAATGACAGGGCTCAGGACTGATACCAGTATGGAATGATGAGGCCATGGAGGTCCTATAGGTCTGGGACTATTGGAGTGACATGGAAGGGATCCTGCCTGGTCCCCCCTCCCCATGTCTGCCCAAGTCACCCCTGCATCAGGTTGGTTCCTTTCACTAAAGTCATTAGGAGCTAGGCAGTATGAACTCTCTGTGGTCTCCGGGAGTGACTGGGCCACTTGCTGACTCCCAAATCTTCTGCACCTCCCTCTGTTCATCCTTATTTTCTACTGGTTTCCTCATCCAGCCAGGCCCACTTCCCCAGGAATCTGGGCCAGCCCTGTTAGGGCACTGATGTTAAACAGCATCTGGGGACCTGCAGGACTGCAGGCTTAGACTTCCCCTGAACACCACCACTTCACATCAATTATATATGGTCCTGTATTGTTTCCGTGTTTCCCAACAAGGCTGTGAGCTTGAATCCTGGGAAAGCGCCGCGACTTGGAATTTCACCTCCTTCCTGGCATTGGCTCCTAGCACAAGGAACAGAACAGAGATTCCCCAATTTCTCCTCCCAAGACTGTCTGATTAAAAGGTTCAAAGCCTGCAAACAGATCCAGACCGGCTCCTTTCCCTAGAGAGGCTGCCGGGGAGGTGCCACACAATGTGGATCGCTCAGACAATGTGAGATACCGGAGTCTCGATTCCAGCGGGCCAGGGAAGGGCGTTACCTAGCCAAGCCAGTCCTGGAGTGGACCTCACCAACTCGGTGTCCTGGCCTGCTCGCCAGCTTAAGAGCCTGCTGGCGTGGGCGGCGGCTGAACCCTCTTTGTGCCGGCATCAGGTGCAAACCCCCGAAGCGCCTGGCGTGCGCGCACGCGCCCCTGAGCTCGGCCGAGCCCAGTCGCCGCCCCAGGTCTGCCCCTCTGGGATCTCCTCCGGGCCCTAGGGCTGCATCTGGGGGAGGGAGGAGGTCGGACACGTAGCGGGCCTCGCCGCAGGGCTGGACTCCACGCGGGAGGGCGGGGGAGCCGGGGACCCACCGCTCCAGCCCGCTGGCCTTCGAAAGATCCTCCTGGGCCAATGGCAGGCGGGGCGACGATCCCTGATTGGTGCAGGCGCTCTGCTGATCACTGTGGAAACCCGGGCGGCGGGGAACGCGGGAGGATGCGGAGCCCCGGTCGGGGGGGGCTGGAGGGGCGGGAGGAGGAGGCGTCGAGGCCGTGAGCTACCCGGGAGTTTTTACTGGAGGCAAAAGTCGTAGCGGGCGGGCTGAGGGTGGGGCGAAGGAAGGGGACCACTTGGGGGCACCGGGAAACCGGGATACACCGGAGGAAGGCAGGGATACTTGCAAGGCGAGGAGGAGCGAAGGCGAGGGGAGGGGTCGCGGTGGGAGGAGGAGTAGGAGAAGACAAAAGCCGAAAGCGAGGAGGGTGCGGGCCAGGAGGGAAAGGTCCGTGCAGCCAGCCGCCGGCTCCCGGAAACCGCGGCGCAAGAAGCATCCCGGTGGGCAGGCAGCATGGGGAAGGGGGGGAACCAGGGCGAGGGGGCCACCGAGCGAGAGGCGCCGATGCCCACCTTCAGCTGGGAGGAGATTCAGAAGCACAACCAGCGCACCGACAAGTGGCTCGTGGTCGACCGCAAGGTCTACAACGTCACCAAATGGTCCACGCGGCACCCGGGGGGCCACCGGGTCATCGCGCACTACGCGGGAGAAGATGCTACGGTAAGAGTCTGGGGGCTCCAGCTTCCCTTCTCTGCCACCGGCGGGATCGGGAGCCCGGGGTTACTGGGCGCCAAACAGACCTCAGGCTCTGAATCGAGCTCGGGACGTCCAGGAGGGAAGGAAAGAGAATCTCCTGCGCTCATCCCACGTCCAGAATCGTCCTCCTCTGGGCCTACTGGGCCGACGTGGGGTGGGGGTCGGATTTCGCACCCCGGGGGGTTGCGCCGCCGTGGAGGTCCCAGCGGTGGGTAACTGTGCACAGCTGCCGCGCGTGCTGCGACCCACGCGTCCACTCCTTCCGCGAGCTCAGCCTGAGACGGGCACTCTCCAAAGGGGGCGCTCCTCGGGGCTTTCGCGCTCCCAGCTCGGAAGATGGCCACCCTTGGACGCCGCGGAAAGGAGCGGGAGAGCGGGCAGCCCTGTGTGGGACTCGGGCGCGCGTCCTGCACTCTCTAGCAAAACTAGGGGGCGGAGAAGGGAAGCTCATCCCTGGCGCGAGCTCGCTGCAGCTGGGATTCTGGTCTGAGAAGGTTCGCAATGGCTGCCCGGGAGAGGCAGCCTAGTAGCTCAGGTTCCCACGCTCCCAAGGATTATCTGGACCCACCTCAAAGGCCGGTCTTCTGGGACACCCGGATGGAGAACTGGTGGAAGGAGAACGGGCTGGAGTCTGCAAAGCCCAGGTAGAGAGGATGCCTGGAACCAGAATTTAGAAACAGTAGGCAGGCTTGGCAACAGGTCCATCTGCATCCGAGGTTACTTTCGGATGTTCAACTCAATGGCCCTCTGTTTGTAAATCCTACCAGGAACTCACTTCCCTCATCTTTCACTGTCAAAGATAATGGGCTCTGGGACCTCTCCAGAGCCAGGACTGCCTCTCCTGCCCTCACCACGTGTGTGGCTCCGCAATTACGCAGCAGTCCCACTCCGGCAGCCCCCAGTCTGAAATCCTGGCATTAAAGTTCGACAGGAGCCCCAGAGACTCAGAGTGGGGAGAGGGAGACAAGGATTGGCTCACCCTTGGTGGTGGTGAGCCAGAGCAGAGAAAAAGGTGGACTGGGCTAAAGAAACTGGGGCAAGGTGAATAGGGGAGAGGCAGAAAGAAAGGAGGGATAACCTTGACCCCGCTCATTCCACCTGGAGGTCTAGGATGCTGACCTGTTTGTGATCTTTTGCTGTTCAAGTGGGATACTCCTAATTCTTGACTCTCCCCACTTTCATATCGTGGAGACCAGATGGACTGGTGGCTTTGGTGAGCAGGGCTCAACTCTTTTCAAGATTGAGAAGAGGGCCACCCACATCCATGTAGCCTACAGTTTTCGTCCCCACCTTGTTTGACCTGCTCACTACAATGCTTAAGCCCAGGAGGGCTGATGATGCTAATCAGAATTCAGATGGGTATAAACTTTTCACAGACTTTCAGTACTAGTTCAATTGGACTTTTCTGCAATCTGGTGAGGGCTTTGGTGAAGCAATTCCTAGGTAAAAGACCTCCTACCTCCTGGTTGGGGTCTTTCCACTATTCTCTGTTACTGGACTTGTGCTAGCCTGTTCATGACTCCATAGGTAAGTTGTAGAAGGTCCCTGCTCTACCAGGCTCTCACCAAAGAGTTTCCTAGAAGGAAAAGTCAAACATGATATATTTGGTCTGATTATTCTGTTTTTGTCTAATAATCATTTTCTTATGTGGAAGCTCAATCTGTCCATTGCCTTGAACTTCATAGTTTAAGCCGTCAGAGTTATTCCATCCTTATTCTGGATGTTATCAGTGTTTTCCTGACCTTTACAATGAGTTTCCTCCAAGAAACTGTGCTTACATCCATCCTGTTCAGTACTGGAATGCCTTACTCTTCTATGCCCCTTCGCTATCTCACAAGTTGGAGGTAAAAATATAACACTTTCTTTATTTCTGATTCTTGCCCCAGAGCTTTCTGTATAAATTTCATTGATGGTAAATCTGGCAACACGGATGTGACTTGCCTGTTGTCGGAAAGCTAGGCCGGGAGTCAGATTAGGCTGCAGACAGTCTGAAATGGGAGAAAGAAGATGTGATCACTGGAGTGATATCATGCTACTGAGCCCCCTGTCCTCATAGGTAAGATACACCTGTACCTACTCCAATGAAATATTCGAGGCAAAGTAAGCCCTACACCACCCAACATGGTGTTATCAGACAAATGACAAAAAAAAAAAAGAGAGAGAGAGAATTAGGAAACCACTAGAATGTAAAGTATGCAAAGAGGAACTTGGAAGAAAAAAAATGTTAATTTATGCTAGCTATTTTGTTGTAGCAAAGTAAAAAGACAACCCCTGTCCATGAAGCTTACTGCCTTCCACATTGAGACTTCTCGGGCATGGACTACCACTGAGGATGTAATTGAATAGTGATAGAGTGAACAACTGGATTCTTTTGGCAGTTTGAATTTTTTTTTTTTAACTTTCTGAAAAAAGGCCCTGAGCATGAGGGGAATATGGGAAGGGAAAAGGTAGGAGCAGTCTGTGGGCCTTGAGAGCTTTGTCCAGCCTGTTAAGCAAGTGGCTTTGTCCCTTGGGGCACAGACTTCTTCCTGAGAACACAGGAAATGACAGAGTATTTGTGGATCTGGCAAAGTTTTGGGAGGAACGGATCAGCAGACAGATGGGTATCCCCTTAGTACCTAGCTCTGAGCCACCTACAGTCCAGTGACATCCTAACAAGGGGCTGGAAAGAGAAGCCATAAGTTAAAGAAGAAGCCATTTGGGGCACAATCCAGATGTCAGTAGGGGATTTTTTCTGTTTCTACAGAAAAGAAGATGTAGAAGTTAGGGACCTACCTCTTCCCCCAAAGGAGGGAGCAATTGTCCTTAGGTTTTTCTGCAGAATTTAGACCTTGGCTGTGCTTATAATAAAAAGTCACTTAGCCAGGTACTGTGGTGCATACCCGTAGTCTCAGCTGCTGGGGAGGCTGAGGCAGGAAGATTGTTTGAGCCCAGGCGTTGGAGGCCAACCTGGTCAATATAGCAAGCTCCTATATCTTTAAAAAAAAAAAAAAAAGACAAAGTCACCTAATTCTTGCAACTTCATAAAGTGCATTCATATGTGTTATCTTATTTAATCCTTAGATCAGCCATGTAGATATTCTCATTATTAAGGTTCAGAAACCTTGTTCAAGCAGCAGTGCTTAAACCCGAAACTCCGGATCTTCTGGCAGTGAATCGTGTGGGCTCACTCCCCCTCTTCCTCTTTCATTTCCTATTTCTGCCTCTCCGATCTCTTCCCTCTGCTCCCTGGAGTTTCTCCTGTCTTTGCCATGCTGTGGGCGCCAAGAACCCTCACCGTTGTGCCTCAAAAGTGTGTCTGCGCTTTTCCTTGCAGTCCCCATCCCCTACAGAACGTCCTCCACTTGGGATTCATCAAACATTCATTGAGAAGCTCCTTGACTCTGAGCTGGGCCCTGGCAGGAAGATGAATAATTCACAGTGACCTGAATCTACTGGATTTGCTTCCCTCATCGCTCTCAAGCTTGCTTGACTCTGGACTGTCAGCCTCTAGGCACTAATCTTGTCCCTCCCCAGCTGGCCTTGTCCCTTTTCCTGCCTTATCTGCCTTGCTCAGCTCTAAAATCCAGGGAAGGCAAGAGGAGGCCAGAGGAACGCTCCAGCTTCCCGCTTGCTCCTGTGCTGTTCTTGGGAAAAGGCAGCAATTGAAGAGACTCAGTGAGGCCATGTGGTGGACAGGCAGGAGGGGTGTGGTATTCAGGGGAGAGAGCCTGGGTGTGAGTCCTGGCCTTCCCGTGTTCCTAGCCTGGGGGCAGCTTTGTCTCTGTTCCTAGCCTGGGGGCAGCTTTGTCTCTGTTCCTAGCCTGGGGGCAGCTTTGTCTGGAGATCTAGGGGGCATTGAATTGCCTGCTTCCTGCTGGCTGCAGCTCAGTGGGAGGCCTCCTGCCCAGGCCCAGCATCCCTTCTGGAGTCCCGGGTTCTCTTGCTAGAAGGGCTTTGGCTTCTCTCCCTGTCAGAACAGGATAGAACCTGGTTCCAATTCTTGTTCCAAAATCAACGTTTGGGTTGGCTCTGTCTTGCCGTGTACCGTGTACCGTGGCCTACCTTGCAATAAACAGACATCCCTGTCCCAAAGAGCTGTTGGGACACTTCTGGAAGTGTGTGGGGCACATTTATGGCAACTTAAATGGGGAGACAGAAAAAATGATTAACTCTCAGGGAGATGGAAACTTGCTTTGATTGAGGTCTTTGTATGAACAGAGGAAACATCTAGAGTAAACACAGCTAGTTGGAGCTCTGACCAGCTAATCCCTGCAAAGTGACCATGGGCAAGTGGCTTCACCAACCTGGGAGTCCTTTCTCATCTCTAATCGAGGACCTGCCTCCCAGAGTTAGGTAAAGAGTAGTGGCTTATGATGCAGGCCACTCGTGTGGCTCAGTGACGAGCCTCTGCCACCTCGGCACATGCAGCTAGACCAACCACCAAGGTGTGGGTGTAGGAGATGGAGGAGAACACTGGTGTTCCAGAAGTATACGCAGGGCTGTGTAAAGCAGTAGATGAAGACACTCAGAACAGGTCTGCAGGGTGGAACCCCTTCAAGTCCTTGTGAGACCAGGTTCCCAGGTACGACTAGCGAGGCCATGTCTGGCCCTTGGGAAAGGCTGCGGTGAACACACTTGCCAGGTATTGGACTTTACCTTTCCGTGATTGGCTGAGAGGCATCATCTAGTTCTCAGACACTGAAGTTGTTCCTGGGGCACTATACCGAGGACTTCCTGTTTGTTTCTCAAAGGCTGGGGTTTGATGTGAGAGGGACACATGAAGGGGCCCTGACTCTGGCGGCACCAGCTGGGCCCTTCCCAGGGCCTTCCTCGCTTGGCAGAGACGTCTGAGTCCGGGGCAGGCAGAACGGATCAGGGCTGGGTCCTGGGCTTCCTCACTTCCTCCCCTGCAGGCTCCTGGAATAGCTCCTCTGTTGTCTCAGAAAAGTCACCTGTTCTGACCCTTGGATCTCACCCATACCTTTCCCTTCAGCAAGGGGGGGCTCAGAGATTTTTTTCTCTTTTAAAGCCCCAGGCCCAGTTTTCCCCTGCATAAAGTGTTGCTCTGTATGTCTGCTCTAAAGGAGGCAAGGACAGGGATACAGGGGCGGGCGCAGCGAGGAAGCCTGAGGGGACTGACAGTCGCTGTGGGGAGATACTTTGGTGTGGGGGTGAAGAGTTTTAGGAGTTGCCAGCATTTCCCACCTTCTCTCCCCCCACTTCTTTTTTAACTTGGAAATTCTCTGAACATACAGACATATTGAAAGAGCAGGTGAGCACCTTTTATCCTCTCGGCCCACAGCCGAGTTGTGACACCTGGCCACATTTGCTTTCTCCTTATACGCAGACCATTTTTCTTTTGAAAATAAGTCGCATCCCGTGGTGTGTCTGCACCCCTAAATTCTTCAGCATCCTCTCCTGAGAGTGAGGAGATGCTTCATCATGATCGCACTCCCTGGGTCCCTTCCAAGCAAATGAATAGCCATTCCTGGATAGGATCAAATAGCCAATCCGTATGTCTAACCCTGAAGAGAGTCTTGTAAAACTTGTATTTTTCCTCCAAACAGGAGTCTTTCAAGCTAAGGCATTGCAGTTTGTATGTTTTTTTAGTTTCTTTTCATCTAGACCCTTCTCCCACAAACCCATGTTTCCACCCCACCTCCACCCGCCATATTGATTTTTCTCTTGGTTTCCCATGGTGCTCTTAGGCTTCTCCTTCAGTCCTGGTGACGTCTCCATTCTAGGGACTAGTTTGATGTGGGGTAAAGGTTGTGCCACTGGAACATCCTATTGTTCAGCCCTGGGGGCTCCTGGTGCCCGCTCATCTCTATTTTAATGAGATAATTTATTTAATATGTATAGAAAAAGTCGGAAGGAAAAAATGCTAAAATTATTAGCAATGATGGCCACTTTCTTGATGGTAATTATTTTTCTCTTTATTCTTCTGTACACTTTCTGACTTTCCCCAAACTAAGCATTTTTTACTTCATCCTTAGGAGAGATTAAAATGCATAACATGATAGTGGTGTTAGGGAAACTTTGGGAAGTAAGGAAAATAAACTGAGGCTCAACACCCCTCCCTTAACACATTGAATTTAGATCTCCCAAGACTCTTGACAGAAGTGCTTTTTACACAGTTCTGTCCTAAGCATGTTTTCCATGTTGTAGTTGTCTTTGGTCTTGTTCTTTTCATTGATAATTGTGGGTGTGTGGGTGAGGAGCTCCCCAGGGTGGTGGGTATTGTGATTTGCGCACTGTGTGAGGCACCCAGCTTAGGAGTAGGCCCAACCCTTGTGGGCGCACCTCCCAGGATGCGCACTCAAACCCTTGGCCAGCTCAGCAGGCCCCAGATCAACACAGCTCTAGGATTGCTCCTGGTTGAGGGATCTGTCTGGGGGATGAGACTGGAGAGAGCTCTTGAGGCCAGATGGTGGATGCCCTGCTTGGTGTGGATATGTACACTGGGCTGCTACTGGTGAGCACTATCTTCCCTGGGGCCAGAAAAGCAGGCCGAGGGCTGGGGCTCATTCTCGCCTTTATTCCTCTATTCTCCAGGATGCCTTCAATGCCTTCCACCCTGACCTTGACTTTGTCCGCAAGTTCCTGAAGCCCCTACTGATTGGCGAGTTGGCCCCAGAGGAGCCCAGCCTGGATCGTGGCAAGAGCGTGAGTAGGACTTCAAACCTGAGCAGGGTTGGGGGTCCTGGGTAGGCTCCCTGGCTCTAGGGCCACAATGTCAGGGCTGGGGGCAGCGGAGCCTTTGGGACAGTCCAGGAGGAGCCTCCATGGAGCACCCAGGGTCACAGTGGACCTCAGAGCTCCCACCGACAGCCAGGGACTGGCCATAGCTAGTGGCATCCCCCTCTCCCAGCTAACCTCATTTTCCTCCTCCTCTTTCCCTTCCTGGATTTGACAATCTAGGAATAAATGTATTCCTAGGTCACTTTGGGAGAGTGACCATCATTTGCTCATTCGTTATTCATCTTCTCTGGGTCAGATGCCCTGCTGGTTGCTGGGCTTCGGCGAGGGTGGTGTGTGAAGAAACACCTGGGCCTCGTGGGGCCGCCCTGCTCAATAGCGAAGGGGCTCGCGTGCCAGACCCTGCGTGGATGATGGAGCCATGTGCTTCTGAGTTCCTGCACAGTCGCCCTGGCCGGCCTCCCTGCTCCTCCCAGTCCTGGCCTTCTCCTGCGCACCAAGCCCAGTTCTATCCTGGTCCTAAGCAGGGATGAGGCACCGAGTCCAGTCCCTTCCTCAAGCCTGTCTGGCCCAGCCTTGTCCCCGACAGTGTGTGTCCAGGGCCGCGTGGGGGTCTGCACAAGGCCTGCCTGTGACCCCAGGGCTGGGGTGGCCTCTGTGGAAATCCTGCTTCCTCTGAGGGCCTTGGAGGCTGTGGTCGGTTCATCCCCTCTGCTCTTGGGCCACCATGGCCCCTGCCAGCCCTAGGACATGGCTTCTGACTCCTGTCTAGGGTGAAGCCCTGGAGACGCCACATGCTTCCTCTTGATGGGCCCTCTGTCTCCTGCTCCCTGCCTGAGCTGGGCGCCACCCTGGAGTGGTTCATAATTAGCCTCCATCTCAGTGGCCTCAGCCCAGCCAGGCTGGACACAGGCTTCTTAACCCAGGCTCTTGACTGGCCCCCTGCCATTGCGTCTGGCCCTCCCGAACAGATGCAGACCGTCCTGCGTGTCCTGCAGAGGCCAGTCCCTTTCCCAACCTGTGTCTCCCCCTCTCCTCTCGCCTTTGCCACCAGGGCACACAGGAGATCACCTGCACCCCTTGCCCTGGCTGACCTGGTCATCTCCTCTCCTCCACCTGGCCCTCCCTGGTTCCAGCCGTCCCCTCCGCTGCGTCCTAAGCTCCTTCCTTCTGGCCTGGCTTCTCCCGCTCCACCCGCCTCTCCCCTTTCTGCTACTTAGCTTGGACAGCCGCTCTTCAGATTCTGCACCTGTCCCCCAGGTGTCACCCAGGTTCCTGCACAGTCCCCTCCCCCACACCCACCCAGCCATTCTTCCATGCTCCGCTCTCTGTCCCCTGCTGCTTCGCTCTGCCGTGACGCCCAGCATTGACCCAGAGCCATTCTGGACTCCGCCTAACCCCTGGCTCCTTGTGCCCGGCGCTCACCTGTCCTCCCCTGTGCCCCAGGCCCTCTGTGGGCAGGGACCAGCCTGACTTGTTTGTGTCCCCCACTTCACTCCCTTCAATTCTCCAGAGTGGCGCAGCGTGGCGGGTAGTGAATACATGCAAGCTTTCCTTTTTAAAGTGTTGCTTAATATGTTAACATAGAACTTCACCGTACTTACGTGCCCAGTTCAGCGGCACTCAGTTTCTCTCACTGTTGCTCAGCCACCCCACCATCCAGCTCTGGAACTTGTTTATTGTTTCAAACTGAAATCCATGTTCATGAAACACCAGCTCCTCATTCCCCACGTCCTTCGGCCCCTGGAAGCCACCGTCAACAGTCTGCTCTAGGCATTTGACCACTCTACAGACCCCGCCTAAGAGGGATCTACAGTATCTGTCCTCCTGTGACAGGGACTGGCCTATTGCACTTAGCACAATGTCTTCAGGTTTCCTCCGTATTGTAGCATGTGTCGGAAATGTCCTTTTGAAGGCTGAATACTATTCCATTGTACGTATAGGCTGCATTTGGGTCAGCCCTTCGTCCATCTCTGGACATTTGGGTTGTTTCCACCTTCAACCATCCTGAAAAACCTGCTGAGAACATTGAGGTATGAGATGCCAGCTTTTGAGTCTAATTCTTTGTCACTTACTGCTGTGGCAGTACATAGTCCCCAGGCCTGTGCCACACGCGCAGCAGGCATGTGGCAATGTCAGCTGTTGCAGTATGTGGTGGTCCAGCTCCTGCAGGATTTGGGATAGTGGATTGTCCCCTCTTGCCACAGCTTCTGAAGGGTGTCCTGGGTTCCAAACATCGGTCCTCTCGGATGGGCAGGCAGCCCGTTCCCTTCTCTGTGTTCTTGGTCATAGGCTCAGATCACCGAGGACTTCCGGAACCTGAGGAAGACTGCTGAGGACATGAACCTGTTCAAGACCAACCACCTGTTCTTCTTCCTGCTCCTGGCCCACATCATCGCCATGGAGAGCATCGCCTGGTTCACTGTCTTTTACTTCGGCAATGGCTGGATTTCTACCCTCGTCACAGCCTTTGTCCTTGCTACCTCTCAGGTGAGGCATGACACCCTCACCCGTCTCTGGAAGTCCTGCCCGCTCTACCCACTGGCTCCCCCACCTCGCTGATTCTGTGACGGCCTCTGTGGCCCTCTGTCCCCAGGCCCAAGCTGGATGGCTGCAACATGATTATGGCCACCTTTCTGTCTACAAGAAGTCCAAGTGGAACCACATCGTCCACAAGTTCGTCATCGGCCACTTAAAGGTAAACTATCAATCAGCAGTTGTCACCGCACATCTCACTTTGCTGACACCAGGACCTCCGGGGTCAGTGCTCCAGGACCGCTCAGGAACAAGGCAGGCCCTCCCAGTGTCTTCTGCTGGGATGGACCGTGTGGCCACACGCTGGTCCTTGTTCCCCCAGAGCATGACCTGGTACCAAGCCATACCTGCAAAACCACGTTGTTTGTTTTTCTTTCTTCATTTTGAGACAGGGTATCACAAGTTGCCCAGGCTCAGTGACTTCCTGAGTCATTGGGATCATAGGCATGTGCCACCGCGCCTGGCACATGTTCTGATTATAAAAACAGACACCCCCCTTTCTTGTCTCCTGGCTCCGTTGGTCATATTGTTTGACGCTTCTTAACTGTTAGTCTGGGGCCGGTGAAGAAGCCCTCTCCCCTGGTGACTTGCTGGGCTTCCTCTCACTGTGGAGGAGAGCCATTTCACATTGTGTCCCTATTTTTATCCTCTGGCTCCGGGAAGTGCGGAGCAACATCTGGAAGGGCCATCATCCTGACCCTCTGCCTTTGGTTGGTTCCATCTGAACCACTTTGTCTATGTGAGTCCTTTCTCTTAAACCTCTCAAATGCTCTTTGGAAATACTTGGGGTACAAAAGGAAGACAGGCATGCCCCTTAACTTCTGACGGAGTTTGGAAGAACTCAACCCGTACGTTGAGAGTGTACGTAGCACCTGTAACTCACCTACCCACGGCTGAGCAACACGGTGCGCTGTCGGGTGCTGGCTGTTTATTCTTGTGATCGGTGGCTGGCTGCCACGCCCAGCCTCCAGAGAGTCCTGCAGTGCCTACACCAGCCTGGGAAAAGATGGAAAGTCAAAGGAGGGTTTCTACTGACGCCTTATTTAATGCCATTATAGAATCAAAGAATCATAAGTCAAGCCTTTGTAAGTTGGGGACCATCGATACTGTGGTCATGGATAAGTTGTTAGATAAGGGACGTCAAACTGTATGATGCCCAAATGAGCCAAAGATAAAAAAGTTGTTAAAAACCCAGGAAGTAAGGCACAGATGACCCTGCAAGATTTGCCCACTATAGCTGTGTGCCTGCCAAGGGCCAGAGCCCGGTCTCAGGCAAGCTGTGAGCCTCTTCGGTCTTGGGCACCCCTGGGTGAGGAGACAGACCCACACAGAGAGGCATTACTGCTCAGCAAGTTTACTAAGATGAGCCACTTGCCAGTGACACCTTGTGCTGATCTGATAGGTGTTATCTCCCTGGTTTGGGAAAGAAGGCCTTATCATCCCCAACGCCAGCCCTCCCCTAACAGTATCTAGCTGGGTCCTGGAGACGCCATCCTGCCCATGCTGGAGAGGGGGACCTGTGTCTAGGTTAAGCTGCTGCTCACATCTCCTGGGCTCTGGGCTTGTCAGCTGTAGATCAGCCAGAGGGTGACAAGCCCCGAGCTGGCCACCCATTCCCCAGCCAGCATTTGCCGGGCTCTGAGCCTGAAAGGTCTGAGAACCTGGATGGCTTCCAGAACTTCAGGGGTGGAGGGAGCGGGTATGAATGCACAGCACTTTGTTTCCTTTTGTGCTGTGTTCTGTCGGATAAAACCCTTCTCAGGGTTGGAGAGTAACATTTCACTCCCGCCCCATGCGCTCCCCATGCTCGCCCCATGCCCTTGACAAAGATGGGCTGCGTGCTGTTTCTAGAATCTGGGCAGCAAAGGCCTTCCAGCCCCACGGCCTTGGTCCCTGAAGATTCCTGTAGCCCAGCTCGTTCATCAGACCGAAGGCCAGGGCAAGACCGAGCACTGGCCTCCACGTGGATCATTCACCAGGAAATCAGAATTCCGAGCTGACAGCATCAAGGTCCTTGGGCTCAGGGACTCGGACTGCAGTCGTGGCTCGCCAGCCTCTTCTGCCCGTGTCCGCGGTGCTGTGTGCAGAGCTGAGTCAGTGGTGTGGCCTACGGCTCACCCCGGGCCCCCCCAGACCCCGGAGGCTCACAGCTTGGTCTAAAATCTGGCGCGCCACTCCCTGGGGATGAGGGCTTTGTCTCTTGGTTCCCAGCTCTGTTCTCAGGGCCCAGCAGAGCAGCTGGCTCAGAGCAGGCAGCGTTTGCTCTGAATTCTGAGGACGCTGGCAGGCTCCACAGTGTCCCAGTGGAGGGGTTCCCGAAGGATGAGTAGGACTCTGCTTGGGGAAGAGTGGAAGAGAACCACCACCGAGGAACAGCAGGAACAAGTGTTTTCATCACGTCGGAGCCCAGTTAGCACCTGCGCCCAGTGAGGGGCTAGCCGTGGCTGTCTCACTTTTGTCCCTCTGATTGTCCACTTAACAAACATCTCTAGGTGGGTGCGTTGGGTTTTTGCTTTGCTTTTGCAGCGCGGGGGGTAGAACCGAGGCCCTGAGGTGCTAGGCCAGCCAGTGCTCTGGCCAGCTGCACCCCAGGCCTGTGCTGGCATATTGTCCGCAGCTTGCTCTCTTGTCACGTGGCCTTGCTCCTCAATGTCCTCGTGCCAGGGACTTTTCCACTCGCTTCTTCCCAGGAAGTTTGTTCCCCCGGCCTCAGATGTGAATGTGTCATCTGATTCCTCAAACCTCCGGGCTTTTCCTCTCTGACATTTTGGTTTTTGCTCGGATGGGTTTTGAGGTTTGCCTGTCCACAGGGGCCTGAGGTCACTGCAAAGGCCACAGCTGTTTGTAGCCGTCCCCACCCATGGCTATGAGTGTCCAGACGTTGCGTTTGTGCCAAAAACACCTCCCAAGTAAACTGTTTGCTTTTAGCAAATAGGGCCACTTTGCGGATGGCCAGACCCTAGTCCTAGCATTGATCTGGCCGTCACCATGCCGTTCTGATGCTCAAGGGTCAGCAAAGACTGATTTCTTCCACGAAGCAATGAACTTTGTTGAGGGACACACTTCAGCAGAATGCTTCAAGAGGTTGAGCCGGTGACGTAACAGTCTGTGGCCTTGAAATAAACATCCTCGCTGTGTGAGCTCCTTGTCTCATGGAATCCTAGCCTCAGTGCCAGAATCAGGGTGGCCCTTCCCTGACCCTGTTAACAACTATTTGTCAGCCCCCCTAGAGCCTGCTAGTAGGTCAGGGACCTCAGCATCGCTCCAGCCCAGTCCTGTGTCTGAGCCTCCAAACACAAAGAAAACGTGTCTAAAGATATTATGCCTTCGCCCATTTAAAGTGTACAAATCAAGCCAGGTGCAGTGGTGCACACCTGTAATCCCAGCTCCTCAGAAGGCTGAGGCAAGAGGATCACAGGTTCAAAGCTGGCCTCAGCCACTTGGTGAGACCTTGTGTTAAAATAAAAAAATAGAAAGGGTTGGAGATGTAGTTCAGTGGTAGAGCGCCCCTGGGTTCCATCCCTAGTACTGCAAAAATAAAGTGTCCAAAGCAGTGAATATGTGTGTAGTATATTCATAATTAATGGAACGATTATCACAGTCAATTTTAGAGCACCTCCTTTACCCCAAGAAGAAACCCTGCACCCCTTCACCATCACATCTCAATCCGCCGTCCCCTCCTCACCCCCCGCCCCAGGCCTGGGCAGATCTTTCTGTCTGTAGCTTTCATATCTGGAATGGGGGACTGAGGATCCTTTGCGACTCACTCCGTTTACTTTGCGTTTCCAGGTCCGTCCGTGTTGCGGCACGTGTCAGTGCTTCATTCTTTCTTAAGGTCTGGCCAAGCGATTCCACTGTGTAGCCACACGACGTGTTGTCTCTCCATTCTCCTGCAGATGGGCATTTGAGTCGTTTCTACTTTCTGGTTGTTTTCAAGAATGCTGCTGTGAGCATTCATGCGCAGGTTTTTCTGCGGATTCGTTTTCGTTTCTCTTAACTGCACATCCAGGAGAGAAACTGCCAGGTCCCTGGTGGGGAAGGGTTCTTACCGACCCGAGACCCTTCCCCCTTGTCAATGCTGGTGCCCAAGGCATGAGCCTGGGTGAGCGGGCGTGGGCAGAGGCAGAGACCACCCCGCCCCGCACCCTGCGACCCAACACCAGCACGTTCCACCCACAGCACCATCGTGTGAAGGGCGAAGCTGAGGCTGCAGAGAAGAGGGGACTTCCCTGCGCTGGGGGCTCAGCCGTGACGGGGCCTCGTTCTCTCAGGGGCCCAAGGCACCACCTCAAGTGGGATACGGAAGTCGGCCTGTGTGTCGGGGGACCAGGAACTGTCCTGCAGAGCCTGTCGCAGGTGAGTTCTGCCTCTGGGCCGGATGGCTCACCCCAGCCCCTCTCTCCGCAGGGAGCCTCTGCCAAGTGGTGGAACCATCGCCACTTCCAGCACCACGCCAAGCCCAACATCTTCCACAAGGACCCAGACGTGAAGATGCTTCATGTGTTTGTCCTCGGCGAATGGCAGGCCCTTGAGGTATGTGAGAGCATTGACATAAGAGGTGTCATAGAGGGGAGGGGAGGGATCCCGTAGGGTCAACATGCACCCAGGAAACCGGTCTCTGATGCACTCAGAACACTTTCCTAGGCTCCCAGATTATTCCACCTGGAGAGTAGGAGGAGGGGCCTCCATAGGAATACTCCTCCCTTCCTCCCATGGGGAATCTGTTTCAAGTTTAGCAGGAAGACAAGGTTCCAGGCTAAAGCTGGATCCCCCATGGGCCAGATCATGCTGAGAAAACTATTTTGTGACTCATAGCCCCCTGGGAGTCTCCCCTGTAGGAGGAACCTCAGCATGGCCTGGTCCGTGCTGTTTCACTCCTAGATGAAAATCATCAAGGCCCAGTGAGATAACGGGGTGTCTTCCGAGTCGCAGGGCTTACAGTTCAGTCTAGAGAAGTCTTAGATCCTGGCCACTAGGCCGTTTCCTTCCATTCAACCACACCATCTCATATATAAATTTGTTCTCATTGGTTATACATGACAGTAGAATGCATTTTGACACATCATACATAATGGAGTATATCTTCTCATTTGTCTGGTTGTACGAGATGTAGAGTTACACAGGTCATGTTATCATATATGCACGTCGGGTAATAATATCTGATTCATTCTCCTATCATTCCTAACCCCATACCCCCTCACCTCCCTTCAGTTCCCTCCATCTAGTCCACATTACCTCTATTCTCCTCCCCAACACCCTTATTGAGAATTAGCATCCAGATATCAGAGAAAGCATTTGGCCTTTGATTCATTGGGATTGGCTTATTTTGCTTATTGTAATATTCCACAGTTTAGCTATTGTGAATTGGGTTGCTGTAAACATTGATGTAGCTGTGTCACTGTAGTAAGCTGACTTTAAGTCCTTTGGGTATAAACCTAGGAGTGGGATGACTGGGTCAAATGGTGGCCCATTCCAAGTTTTCTTAGGAATCTCCATACTTTTTTCCATAGTGGATGCACAAATTTACAGTCCCACTAGCAATGTATGAGTGCACCTTTTCCCCCACATCCTTGCCAACATTTATTGTTGCTTGTATTCTTGATGATTTCCATTCTGACTGGAGTAAGATGGAATCTTGGTGTAGTTTTGCATCTCTCTAATTGCTAGAAATGCTGAGCATTTTTTCATGAATTTATTGATTGATTATATTTCTCATTCTGTGACATGTCTGTTCAGTTACTTTGCCTATGGATTGATTGGGTTATTTGTGGTTTTTTAGTGTTAAGTTTTTTGCGATCTTGATATATCTTGGAGAGTAGTGCTCTCCCGGATGTGTGTGTGGTAAGGATTCTCTCCCATTCTGAAGGCTCTCTCTTCCCATTATTGAATGTTTCCTTTGCTGTGAAGAAGCTTTTTAGTTTGATCCCATCCCATTTATTGATTTTTGATTTTACTTCATGCACTTTAAGAGTTTTGTTAAGAAAGTCAGTTCCTAAGCTGACATGGTGGAGATTTCAGCCTGCTTTTTCTTCTATTAGGTGCAGCGTCTCTGGTCTAATTCCTAGGTCCTTGATCCACTTTGAGTTAAGTTTTGTGCAGGGTGAGAGATATGGGTTTAATTTCATTTTGCTACATATGGATTTCCAGTTGTCCCAGTACCGTTTGTTGAGTAGGCTATCTTTTCTCCAATATGTTTTTGGTGCCTTTGTCTAGTGTGAGATAACTGTATTTATGTGGGTTTGTCTCTGTGTCTTCTGTATCATTGGTCTACGTGTCTGTTTTGGTGCCAACACCATGCCATTTATGTTACTATGGCTCTGTACACCATCTCATTTTTATATGAGTTCATGTTTATACATATTTGGTGTAAATATTGAAATAATATAAAAATATGTAACATTAAAAGGTGATTCTTCTAGTATCTCCACCACACTCTTTGCCCCAGGTCTTATGACCCTGGGGGTTACCCCTGTTGACAAGATGTCCTATGTCCTTCCCAACATTTTCTGTGTATATGAATATACATGTATCTGTTTCATTCACAACAAAATTCAAGCCAGGCATGGTGATGCATGCCTATAATCCCAGCAACTCCGGAGGCTGAGGCAGGAGGATTGCAAGTTCCAAGCCAGCCTTGGCAACTTAGCAAGAACCTGCCTCAAAAAACAAATAAATAAATAAAAAGGGCTGGGGATGTGACTCATTAGTAAAGTGCCCCTGGTTTCAAGTTCACATACCAAAATGAAAACAAAAATAAACCCAATATTTAAAATAAATTCTGCCCTGCATTCTGTAGCTTGCAGCCTCTCCAAATGTGGACCCTGTTTCAGGAGTCCCAAAAAGATTTTTCTTATCCATTTTGAAGGTTGTACAGTATTCTGTTACATTTCTGTAGCATAGCACAGCTACTGCATTTCCTAAGACAGGAAAATGTGGTGTTACTAGTATTAACTATCACCTTCCTTTTTTTTTTTTTTTTTTGAGCTGGTAATTGAACCCAGAGCCTTGCACATGTTAAGTATGTGCTCTATTACCGAGCTCTACCCCTAGTTTCCTAATTTTCTTTAAATAAAAGTACTCCCAAGTGCATTTAAAGAAGGTTCTCATTGAACACTTTTTGATACTGGGGATTGAACCCAAGGGCACTCTATCACTGAGCTACATCCACAACCTTTTTTATATTTTTATTTTGAGACAGTCTAATTTGCCCAGGCTGGCCGGGAACTTGACCTTCCAAATCTGGGATCACAGGTGCACCTCACCATGCCCAGCCACAATTTTTTTTTTAAAGTAGAGCCTTTCATTTTTAACAATATTTACATGCCCTTTTCTTTTGGGGAACACACTGGTGATGGAAACCAAAGTCAGGGGGTCTTTGTTGTTTTTACGCAGGTCCTAAGAATCACAGTGCTCAGAGTGCCCAATAAGCATTGGCCAAGCAAGGCAAATTCACCCTTGGTAAACAGTGGCGTCATAAATGAGGTAGTATCCCAACAGTGTTGGTGTCTAAGGCTTGGAGCATGGGGAGGAGAGAGCCTGTTCCCCAGTTCTGGTTTGAACCCCTCTCTCTGGCAGACTTGGGTCTCTAGTGACAGCTCAATCACAGGAAGTGAGCCGTAGTTCGGTACCTTGGAAGCACTGAGCCTCTCTGGCTGGCCGGGCAGGGATTTTAAACACAAGCCTTTGTTTTTCTTTTAGGAAACAGCTTGCCAGCGTTGATTAGGGGGTGTCTAGATAGAGAACAGATTAGCTAGAGGCTCTCTGATAGCGCAGACAAAGTCCTCCTTTCTCATGGGGTAGAGCGATTGGCTGTTCTGATCATGTTCTCTGTGTCCCTAACAAATAAAACCTAGTCTCACCCGTTCTGCTTCCAATTCTTCATCTGCGAGGTGGCCCGCGGAACCTCTTCTGACATCTCACTTCTCAAATGCTGGCCTTTGGGTGGGAGGTTGTGGAGGTCTGCCTTGTCCAGCTGCCAATCACGTTTGGAAGACTCAGGCCCCCACCAGTGTTTGTGGAACCCCCCTCTTACCTACTCACGAGCAGAAAGGGCCCACGTTTCCTGGGTTCCTGGTCAGGTCGTGCACTGTTACCCACAGGGAGCTCTGGTGTTTTGACAGAGGTGACATTGGTCTGATGGCTCTTGTCTCCCGTCAGCCTCACATGCCATAGCAGGGCTCCCCACCCTGCCCTGCATGGCCAGGCCTTGGGATCCTGACCACCACCCCAGCTTCCAGAGCAAGGGTGCCTTCCAGGGCTCTTACCCCTGGGCTCAGGTGACCAGAGCAGCCTGGCCAGGGGCCCTGAGGGCTGTCCAGCAAGAAGAGAGGTAGACAGCAAGGTCACCCCAGTGAGGCCCTTTTCCTAGGTAGATCCTTACCTCTGGGTCTTATTTATGACTTCCAGGAGGATTTTTGGTTGCTGTGTTTTATGTAGTAAAATATATTCACTTTCCTTCCCTATAGATTCTTTTCGTCACTTTTATGCTTAGGGAGTTCTTCATGATGTCGTTTTCACTTCTTTGTGGGTTTATGTCTGAATGCTTAGCTTCTGCCCAGGGGGTTGGGGGCTGATGATGTTCTACATTCACATTTCTCCAGGGTCAGCCGGGCTCCCCAGCACCCCTAAGGGATCACAGTGACCGCTCCCCCAAATGATGGCATGAGCCCTCCCACACCCAGCGTCTGGTCTGAACGGGTCATCTGGATCCGTGCTCATGAGAACTCTGCACTAATGGCTCTTCAGAAGCTAGTAATGGAGCACTTGTCTCTTCTGAAAACATGTGCAGCCGTACATTTCCGCTTCCCTCCCAGGAGTAGGGCCTCTCAGCCACTCAAGTGCCTTTCTGTCTCTCAGGACAAGGCTTTGTGCTCTTTGGTCTCTTGGGGACTTCTTTTTAAATTTTCACCCTTATGATCAAATTTTCTCTGGGGTTCAGGAATGTGGTCGATAACTGGCTAGTCATGTCCAGCTAGTGTCCACGGGTGTCTCTTCGTGATTCTAGTTTTTCAGTCGATTCTTTTGAGTTCCTGGATAGACAATCGTATCCTTGAAAATAAAGAAAATGTAGCTGGGTGCCGTGGCACGTGCCGGTAATCCCAGCGACTCAGGAGACTGAGGCAGGAGGATTGCAAGTGGAAGGCCAGCCTCAACAACTGAGTGAGACCATGCCTCAAAATAAAAAATAGAAAGGGCTGGTGATGTATTTCAATGGTAGAGTGCCCCTGGGTTTGATCCCCAGTACCAGAAAGAAGGGGGAGGGGAAGGAAAATGTATGCTCTTTCTAACGGCTCTATCCTGTGACCTCTGCTTAGGGTTTTAGTGCATTGACGGGAACTCTCATGGCTGCCTTAGATGCAGCAATCTTGTTTTGCTCTTTGTTTTCCCCATATCGTCGAGGGCAGCGCAAGGCCATATCCACACAGCACTGTCAATGGCTCCCAGAATATCCGCCTGGGAGCCTCTTGCTTCTCCCATCTGGGGAGGTCCCTGCCCTCTGCCCATTGGCAGCGGAAGCCCTAGGCTTCCTGCAGACCACGAACAGACCACAGTGGCCAGTCCCCTCCTGGAACGACTGTGGCTCTCCTCTCTGGCGCCTTGGGTAGGGACCCTGCCATTCTGCCCATTCCTGACATGGCCACGTGGCTCGTTTTCTCTGTGTGAGTTTGTGGGTTCCCAGAGGCAACCAGCCGGCTCTCAGCAGCTCCCCTTCCCCCAGCCCTAGACACACAAGGAAGGCTCTTGTCATTCCTCAGACATTTTTGTTTCAAACTTGAACAGTCCCCTCCTCGTGCCCCTGGCACCCGCTCTGGCCCTCACCCATGCTGGCCTTGTGGGCTTTGTAGAGACTGAGCGCAGAGGGCTCAGCCCAGCCACCGGGGCTGGCAGCTCTCGCCTCGCTCTGCCCTGGCCTGCGTCCCGAGCTGTCGGCCTTGGCTTGGGAACGCTCTGTCCCTGTTCAAGGCAAGTCCTGAGTGTACCATCATCTCCTCCTTGGGGTTCGGCCACAGCAAGCCACCCACATCCTTGCCTACAGCCCAGCTGGTGACAGTGCCGTCTGTCTGCTTTCTCTAGCCCCCGCGGCTGCCTCCCCAGCCCTCTTCCATGTGTGACCTCCTGGGAGGAGCGGAGGGAGGTGGGGGTCTCCCACTCCCTGCAGTCCCCAGCTGGGAGGAAAGCTGACTCTTCCGACCGAGTCCGTGGGCCCAGCACCAGGCATGTGCACCGTCACTTAGTCCTCGCTGAGCCTGTGAGGCGGAGCTGTCACCAGCCCTCAGAGAGCAGCTGAGGCCTAGGGATGAAGCCACCAGCTCAAAGGTGCAGGTAGAGAAAGAAGTCAGGAGCTCATTTTCCTGGTTCTGCTTCCTAAAATACCTCTCTTCATCTCTTCCCCACTCCCAGACAAGGTGCTGACAAAGGAAAGCAGGCCCGAGAGTTAGTCACAGGGCAGGGCTTGATGTCATCAAAGCCATAGTGGCGCTTTCTGATTTTGGGGAAAGTGCTGCAGGTCTGCTGTATCCTGACAGACCGCCTCGCAGCTGCCTCATTGGAGGCCGTGGAGATGGGGGCCGATGGGCACCGAGTGTTGGTGTGTCACTTGGTGCACACACACGTGACCATGACTAACATTCATTTGCTGCCCCATAGTGCTTTGCTATCCATTCTTTCCGCTGGGCCCTCACAACCCTGTGGAGTGTGTACATCAAACCTCCACTTTGCAACAGGACCTCAGAGCTCAGGGGGTGATGCAATTTGTCTAGATAATGAATGGCTCCTAAATCCCGAGCCCCTGCTTCCTAAGGCTTCCCAGAAGCTGGTTCTGAGGGCTACCACGGCCCAGGGGGACCAAGGTGCCTGGTCTCCCCGAGGTCAGTCTGGGGCATTGAAGAGCTACATGTGGGGCCCAGCAGAGTATACAAGTGGGACAGCCTTGTCATCCCCGCAAAGTCACCATAAACCCATGACAGCAGTGTGTTTGTCATACAGATGCAGCTTCAGATACACTCCCTGGGTGCCCCCCACCTCGTGCCTCTCAGCAGTTCGAACAGCCTCAAGTCCCTCTAGGGGAACCCTCTGGCCTCTGCTGACCTGGAGGCTGCTCTTAGTGCTTAGTCCCCGAGAGGAAAGAGATGTCCGTGGAGTGAGACGTGGTGGGGAGCCTGTGTCTAGAGGCTGGGCCTGAGGCCTGGGTCCCCAGCTGCTGGCGGAGGTTAGCAAAGGGCCCAGGGCCTGTGTTGTGGGCCACAGCCTCCCAGGAACCCTGGACCTCTGTGTTCCCTGCAGGTGACCACTTTGGGGGTTCGCCTTCCCAGGCTGGCCCTTCCCAACCCTCCCTTCACTGGGTCATCATCAAAGGCTCCTCTGAGGCCTCCCTGGCTTGATCCCTGCAAGACCAGCCTCAGCCCTGACCTTAATGACAGGCTGAGGGCACATGGGATGCTGTGGGAAGGAGTGAGCTCCTTGCCAGGGCACCGGAGCCACATGGAACAAAGGGACTGCTTCTGGCAGTGCTTTGGCCAGATGTGCTGTGACCACGGCCTCTGGCACCAAGATGGAAGTCCAAGGGTAGGCTGGACTTGGTCCTCCTCACACCTGCTCCCTCGCCAGAGCACATCGGCTCTCCTGTGATCTGATGAGCACTTTCCTCTGTGTTCTCACTGGAGAGCTGGCTCTGGCCGAGCTCTCTCCCAGACTTTGATCTTCAGACTCTAACAACAGGAATGGACACCGTCTGTGGAGGGTGTCCCTGGCCTTGGGATCTGGGATGAGGGCAGTGTCCTGGGGTCAGTACTTGGTTTTATGAGACTTTTCGGGTCTCAGCCCCCACAGAGCAAGGTAGGCTGGTTCCTAGGGGCTGGCCTGTGGGACTAAAGAGTCAGATCACCGGGGGACTCCTTGGTGCCTGTGCTACGTGTGGCCTTGTGTGGTCTGTTGGCATTCCCAGGTGTACTGGGAAGGAGTGATTAACTCTGAGACATCTTGGGGCTGCGGAGTATGGTGGTACCTGTCTGTGATCCCAGCCACTCGAGAGGCAGAAGCAGGGAGATTGCAGGTTCAAGGCCAGACTGGGCAACTTAGCAAGACCCTGTTTCAAACCAAAATAAAAAGAGCTGGGGATGTAGCTCGGTGGTTGGTAGAGTGTTCCTGCGTTCAATCCCCAGTACCAAAAATAAAAAGGAAAAGAAGGAAGGAAGGAAGGAAGGGAGGAGAAAGAAATTAATCAGGGCCGCTCCAGGGAGTGGAGGCCCCCGGGCTGATGACCGCTAACAATTCCCAGCCCTTACTGGGTTCTCCCAGCCCTTACTGGGTTCCCCCAGCCTCTGTGGGCTCCCGGGAGCTCCCCAGGGAGACTGAGGAACTTTTCCGACCACCAAAGGGGTAGAGAAGGCTGAGGAGCTCCCTCTGGGCCCCTGTACCCATGTGAGTTTTCCAGTCCCAGCCAGGCCTGGGCCTTGGGCCTCTGAGCCTGAGCTCGGTCAGCACCGTCCCTTGGGCCTGCAGGGGATTCTGGCCAGTGGGGGCTGACACATGAGCCAGGGTGAGGAAAGTTGGCCCCCGCTAGCTCTCGAAGGCTCAGGGTGCAGACTGACAAGGAGGGACGGTGGCTGCAGAGTGTGTGGGTGGGGGGCACTGGAGGCTGGCCCGGGTGGCCGGTGCTCACGTGCATCTCTCCTTTCTCCTCAGTACGGCAAGAAGAAGCTGAAGTACCTTCCCTACAACCACCAGCACCAGTACTTCTTCCTGAGTGAGTGCTGGGGTGCCTGCCGCCCGCCCCCCCCCCCCCGCCACCTCTCCCCCCTGTGGGAGCTGTCCCTTCCAGGCCCAGGAAGGACACTAAATCTGTCGGAGCAGGGGTCACGGCAGCCTGCCGGAGCTGGCCCTACTCAGCCCACATCCTCCCCTGCACTGCCGAGGTGGCCTCTGTCCAGTGTCCGCCTGGCTCCCTGACCTCCAGCCCAGCCGTGCTCAGCGGGTCGCCTCTAAGTGCCTCTACTCTCTCCCACAGTTGGGCCGCCGCTGCTCATCCCCCTGTATTTCCAGTATCAGATCATCATGACCATGATCGTTCACAAACACTGGGTGGTGAGTCCAGGGGGCTGGCTCGGGGGGGCGGGTGAGTGGGGCACAGGCACCCACGGGTCCTGCCCTGTGCCCTCTGTGGCTCTCTGGGCCCGGGGCTGCCTGCTCACTCTTGGCAAGGGTCCTCCTCTGGGACCATCAGAGCCAGGAAGGCCACAGCACGCCGGTTCCAAGGACTCCTCCAGTGCGTACACGCAGGACAGCCACTGCTTTGCCGAGCTCCTTAGAAAATTCCTGGCGGCCTGGGATAGGCACACAGCCCAGCCAGCTGTGGCCCTGCCTGGCCCTGCCCTCTGCGTCCCCTGTGGGATTCCTGGACATTTTCATTCCACACTCTGGTTGAGAAATGGGAAGCGGCTGGACATTGGCTAAGAAGACAGGTGTGTTCCTTTGCCAAGATTGTGTAACAGAGCACCCTGAACTGGGTGGCTTCAGCAAACCCAAATTTGCAGTCTGGAGGGACGTCAGCAGCCCCCTTCTGAGGGCTGCCAGGGAAGGGCCGGTTCCAAGACCCTCTCCTTGGCTAGTACATGCCGTCTTCTCTCCGCCTTTATATCTTCTTCCCTCTGTGTTTCCTTTATCTGTGTGCAGATGTCCCCCTTTTCTTATAAGGACACCAGTCCTATTGGATTAAGGCCCATCCTGATGACCTCCTTTTAACTAGGTACACCAGCAGTGACACTATTTCCAAATAAGGTCGCCTTCTGAAGCACTAGGGGTTAGAATTCAACATACAAATGTGGGGTTCACAATTCAACCTAAAATAACAGGCTTATGGGCGTCTCCCGATTCTGCTTCCAAAGAGAGAGCGAGAGTGGCCCTGACGGGGACTGAGCACCAGGGTGCCCGAGGGAACCCTTGGACTTATGTACACGTGCGGTCATGATTTTGATTTTGTGCAAGATGAGAACACACCCTTGACAGAATAACCCATAGGCAGAGCAGGGTTTGCTGTGACAGGGACATGGTCCCCGCCCCCAGCAGAGAACAGACAAGTCCAGTCACTTAGTAGGTCTTGCTGGCCCCCCCTCCCTCCGTCCCTCCGTCCCTCCTTCCTCTTTCTTCTTTTCTTGTGGTGCTGGGGATTGACCAGGGCTTCGTGCCTGCTGGGCGAGCACCCTACCCCTGACCTTCATCCCCACCCCTTTTTAAAATGTTATTTTGACACAGGATTTTGCTGAGTTGCTCAGGCTGGCCTTGTCCTCACCAGCTTCCTGCCTGGGCCTCCCGAATCTCACTGGGGTTACAGGCATGAGCCACCATGACCAATCTGCTGGCATTTTTTTCTTTTTTTAAAAAAACAAAATATTTTCATACATGAAGATGATTGAAATTGAAAGTTTGAACCTTGCCCATCAGGACCCACCTGAGTTAGTGTCCTGATGCCATGTCCTATAGCCTGGCCCTTCTCTCTTTCAAACAATAGCACCTCATATTTGTAGAGCACCTTGGGACTTCAGATCCCTCTGTGTGACATACTGTCATTGACGTTACGGGCCAAGTCTGGAGACGGAGCCTCCCGTTGGGACTTGAGGAGCAGGGGGTGGGGGTGGGGGGCCCTGGTGGAACCTGGGGCATGCTGTCTTCTGGAAAAGTGGACATTTTTGTCAGTGTATACTGTGTTCCGGGAACAGTGACACATCTCTGCCACGTCCCTTCACCCTGTTTTACTGTGCGGGCTGGTCGGAGCTGAAGAGGTAAAGGAGTGAAGCGGCTGATGTTAGAACCCACATCTCCTGCCCATGTGGGACTGCTGTTTCCCCTGGGGCTCGCCCGGGTCCCCAGGAGAAACTTGAGCCCCGCAGTCCTGGTCATTTAACTAGCGTTTGTATTTTATATCGGATGACTGGGTGTCAATGCCCACTTTTTTTTTTTTTTTTACCTGCTTGCTCTGTAAGGAACAAAGCATTGACCAGGAAGAGCAGGAAAGGAGATCAGACCACGTTCCTAAAAGGCACCAGCTGGCAGAGCCGGGCATCTGTCAGTCCCAAGTGAGAGCCGCTCTGCGGAGCATTTGGCAAGATCCAGAGACAGTTTTGATGTCACAGCTTGGAGATGGGAAGGCACTTCTGGCATCTAGCCAGGGAGCGTGCTAGACATCCACCTTGCATGTGACCCGTCAAGCAGAGACTCAGCCAGATGGCTGCAGTGTGGAGCCCCAGGAAGCCCTGGCCTTGAGGAAAGAGAGGGACAAGCCCAAGAGCGTTTATGTTTGTTTTGGTACCAGGGATTGAATTCAGGGGCACTTGATCGCTGAGCCACATCCCAGGCCTTTTTATTTTTTATTTTGAGACAGGGTCTTGCTAAGTTGCTTTATGGCCTCACTCACCTGCAGTTTGGTCTCCAACTTTCAATCCTCCTGCCTCAGCCTCCTGAGCTGCTGGGATTACAGGCAGGTGTCACCGTGCCCAGCTCCCCAAGAGCTGTGAGGAGGGCCTCAGAAGGGACGTGTTCACCACTCTGCCAAGGGACGTGTGCCCACCTTTATGACCGTCACTGACACCCTGACCACTTCTTCCTGAAGCTCTTCCTAACCCTTTCCCAGCCCCCTCCCCTCCCCTGCCCTGCCCTCTGCTTCCCTGCTCCCTCTGTTCCTGCTCCGTGGCTTCCCTGCATCTCCTCATCCCTGTCCTGGAGCCAGAGGTCCCCATAGCCATATGTCACTCAACGCAAAAATCAGCAAGCATCTCCCCCGTCCCCATTTTCTTCCATGTGTGTACCCACACCCACACTTCTGCCCTGCAGACACACCAGAAAAGGAGAATGAGGGAAAACGAGAGTAGAACTCGCAAGGTCTGGCCCTTCCCGCTCTGCCCTCTCCTGCCTCTCCTAAGCCGCCCTCTCCCACTTTCTGCTCAGCCTATGCCACCCCAGCCCTGACCACCTGGGCTGACCGCAGGGCCAGCCCAGGTTCCTCACAACCAAGCGGCTGCCGAATACGGCCTCTTCTGCCTCCTAAATAGGCTGGAAGCTGTCACCTCTTCATCCACAGTGTGGGTCCCGATCTAGGACCCACCATTTCATGCAGGGGTTGCTGAAATAACCTCCTAATCTCCCAACTCCACTTGGTAGGATCTATTTTAAGACACCAGTGCGGTCCTCTTTGAAGGATTGTTTGAAGAACAATGGTTCTCCGTTGCCCGAGAGAGGGGACAGTCCCCTGAGCCACACCTGAGCTGACTCTGGCCTACCTGGCCAGCCGTCTCACCCCTCACCTCACACATTGTCCCGTCCCATGCAGTCTACCATCGGTACTTAAGGACCGCCTGGGCGTGCCTTCCTGACACCAGGAACAATCCATGCAGAGGCCCTGAGGTGGGAATGAGCTGGCACACGGTGCTGAGGAGAGAGGGGCTCCCGATGCCGCAGAGCTCTGGGCCACTTGGGGTGGATGGGAGGGTGTCACAGGAGAGAGATGGGATCTTCTTGGAGGCAAGGGTGCACAAGGACGAGCAGGACGGCTGTGGGCCAGCCAAGACACATGGGCTTGGGTAGCAGAGGAAGTGGGGAGAGGGCTGCTCAGAACCCTGCTACCCACGTGGCCCCAGGAAGGGGAGGAGGGAGACTGGAGAGGGTGTGTGGCCTTTGCCCTCCCATGTTTTCATGCTGGAGCAACAGATGAGGAAGGAGGCCCAGGTGCTGGTGAGCTGAGGCAGGCCATGGGCAGCTGGTCACCTGGCCACGCGTGGTAGGTGGGCAGCGCATACGCAGCCTTTAGAACCCCCTGGACCCACCCGAGCCTGCCTCCCCTGGCCGCTGCCCATGGCTGCCCCTCTGCCTTTGGATTCTCTACTGAAACACGCCCCCTTTCCTCGGGCATCAAGGCAGTTGGGAGACCTGAGCCAACAGGTGGTGTTCGGGGAGGTGCTGTATCCCCGTGGGCGGGTGTCCAGCCCGCAGAGGGCTGTCGGGGGTGATTCTTCACAGCTGTGCCTGGCAGTGCGAGGTGTGTGTGCACATCTGTGGTTGGGCGCGCTGTGCAAGGAGGGCAGGGGGGCAGGGCAGGCCTGCGTCTGATCTTGTTTCTTCCCGCAGGACTTGGCCTGGGCCATCAGCTACTATGCCCGCTTCTTCTGCACCTACATCCCCTTCTACGGCATCCTGGGGTCCCTCCTTTTCCTCAACTTCATCAGGTGCCTCACCTGGGCTGGTCACCTGGGCTGGTGGTCCCTGGGCCCTTTAGAGCACCAGCGTTGATGGGAGATGCCCAACATACCCCTGTGGTCCCGGGACCTCCCTCCTGATGGTGCAGCAGGGGCTGAGCGGGGCCCAAGGAGGGACCCGGGGCTGCAGTGCTGACCAGGCTCCCTTCCAGGTTCCTGGAGAGCCACTGGTTTGTGTGGGTCACACAGATGAATCATATTGTCATGGAGATCGACCTGGACCACTACCGCGACTGGTTCAGCAGCCAGGTGAGGGAAGCCAGAGCTGGTCACCAGGCTCCCCGGGGACCCTGCACTCAGCCCTGATGTGGCTGCACCAGGGGACCCGCTCTTCTGGGTTTTACTGGGGCTGCCTGTGTCCTACTGGCAACCTTGGGGCTAAGCAAGAAAGGGTGACAAGGTCCCCAAGAGGGACAGGTGGGGAATCTGGCTGGACCGAGGCCTCTAGGCGGCCCCCGCCACTCACACCCCCTCCCCTCTGCAGCTGGCAGCCACCTGCAACGTGGAGCAGTCCTTCTTCAATGACTGGTTCAGCGGGCACCTCAACTTCCAGATCGAGCACCAGTGAGTGAGGCCCGGAGAGACAGGCAGGGAGGGAAGTGGCCACCAGGCCCACAGGGCAGAGGGCGGCCTGTGGGGTTCTCTCCCCTAGCAAGGTCACTGCCCCATCTTAGAGCGCGACTCCGCAGCCGCCCTCACTGAGGTCAGGAGAGGGGCTCCCTGGGCTGTCTCCCCAAAGCATTAGTGCCCGGACCCCGTGCCACATGGCCATAGTAGTGAGCACGCTCCTTGACGTGTGGCTGGAGGGTTGTAGTTTCAGAGAGCTTGCCTGGGCATCTTGTATCCCTGCTAGCCGGGCAGGCATGGTTGATCCCATTTTATGGACTGAGAAACTGAGGCTCCACTACATGGCCTCCCTAGAATACAGGTGGCCGAGGGGCTGTCTCTGCTGCCCCTTGTCCCAGTCTCGCCTCTTGTCATCGTTCTTCTTCCCATCTCCCGTCTGTTTCTTTCATTTCCTTTTTTTTTGGGGGGGAGACGTGACACTTTTGTCTCTGGCCATCTAGAGCAGACACACCTGCTCACCAACAGCCCCCCTCCCACAACCCTAGCGGGCACTCGGGAGGAGCCTTGTCCTGCCTGCCAATGGGGCCTCCCTGGGCCGTGGGAGGGGCGGGCAGCAGCCGGGGGGGGGCGCCCTCACACTGCGCCGGGCTGTGCTCCCCCAGCCTCTTCCCCACCATGCCCCGGCACAACTTGCACAAGATCGCCCCGCTGGTGAAGTCTCTGTGCGCCAAGCACGGCATCGAGTACCAGGAGAAGCCTCTGATGAGGGCCCTGATGGACATCATCAGGTAAGCGGCGGAGTCAACAGTGCTGGAGCGCCTGGGGGCCCTGGGGTGCAGGGAGGGCCCAGAGTCGGGGCTGAGGGGACCAGGACGTCCATAGCTGGGAGTACTCATGGTGGAGACCACAAGAGGACCTGGCCTTCCTGTCCCCTACCCTCAGGAATTTCCTGGCTTCCTGCTCTGGGCTGGGGAGGACTGACCCTTTGACCTTCTGCTGGACCTCCCTGGGGAGCTTTAGCCAGCAGCCCACAGCTCCCACTGATGGCTGAGCGCAGCACCCGCCCCGCCCCCCCAACACGGCCTCCCCCGCCTCTCCCCCTGCACTGGTGCGCCCCATTCCTGAGCCCTGGTCCCTGCCTCTCTCTTTGCAGTTCCCTGAAGAAGTCTGGGGAGCTGTGGCTGGACGCCTACCTCCACAAGTGAAGTGGCCGCCCTCAGCCCCGCGCCCACCTCTCTCAGATGTTGGTCCTAGTTGAGCGTCCCGAGATTCAGCGTCAGATTCTCCCCCCAGAGGGCCCCATGGGGAAGGGGCGCAGGTGGGGGTGATGGCCAAAGGGAGGGGCGGGCTTTTGTTCTGAGGGTTTTCCATGAGGCTGGGGTACACACTGGCTTATGGACCCCATGTTTGGTTTTCTTTCTCTTCTTTCCCTTCACCCCACCAACCCCTCTGGGGCCTGCCCTCTCCCAGCCCTAACCCTCACCCACCACCTCCTGGCTCCTTCTCCCCAGGAGCAGAGAGAGGTGGCCATGGGAAGTGGCTCTGTCCCTGCCTCCAGCCTTTGCCCCAAAAGATCTGAGGAGACCAGAGGTCCATGGGGTCTGGCCTGGGACTCCTCCGCTTCTACCTGGCCACCAGGCTGACAAACCCTAGTCCCTCGGATACTCTTGGGGTCTGTGGGCAGGGTCCTGGCCTGGCTCTGCCCTCCTGTTTGGAGGGAGGTGTGCTTTGTGCTCTGGGTCTCCTTCCCACGGCTGGGGTCTGTACCTGGGGCCTCCCTCCAGCTGTCCAGGGCTCCAGGCCTGCAGCATGGCCAGCTCAGACCTCGAGGCCCAGGGGATGTCCACCGCCTACCACTGGAGCTCTGGGCCCCCAGGCTGGTGCAGCTTCTGTTCCTCCGTCTTCCTAACTCCAGAGCCCACGACCTTGGGAGCAGAGGGGCGTCCCTTGTGTGGGCTCGGCCAGGTTGTGGGAGGGGCTGGCCAGCCTGGAGGCTCAGCCCTGCGCCCACCTCTTTCAGATATTTGTCCTAGTTGAGTGTCCCGAGATTTAGCCGTCAGATTCTTCCCCCAAAGGCTCCGGTCAGTCCTTGGCTACTTGGCCCAAGGACTTGGGCCTTGCAGGAGGGCACTAGAGCTTGCCACAGGCCCTCCCCAGAATGGGTGTCAGGGGGACAGCACTGAGCCTCGCTCTCCTGTCTTACTGCTTTTAATCTTTGCCATTTTAACTTGTTCCACGGTATGCATTCTGGTGGAGGGCAATGGGCTGGGTCTTGGGACAATATGCCTTTTATGAGATGCCCCCATGGGCTCCCCCAGGCCCAGGGTGTGGAGACCACTACTGGCAGGAGGGCAGGGAAGCAAGGAGGGAGGGGAGTCTCAGGAGGCCACCCTGAGGCGCCAGGGGAGTGGGGGGCCCAGTGAGGGCCAAGTGGGTGTCGGGAAGAGGAGGAGGCCAGCCGGAGGCCAGGACATGTGAAGGCTTTGGGAGAGTGTGCGGGAGGGGGAAGGCTGCGGCCCAGCGGCCTAGTTCTACTGTCTAATCCACTAACCAACATTTAGATTGACAGTTCAGTGGGGCTGAGACCCCAAGGTAACCGCGGCAGCATTGACCCCTCCCACCACCTAGCTCCTATGTGCTCTCTCCGGAGGCAGAATGAATCCTAGGGAACTGATCTTCATTTTTATCATGTTGCTTCCCCACCCCTACGTTTTTGGGAAATAAAAGCAGTAATTTTATTCTCACCTCCCTGTGGCTCAGTGAGATGGACAGGCAGCTGGTGGGCTGCCTGGCCTAACACACAGGGTGTGCTCTAGGGGCTTGGGGGGCAGGGGGAGGCCCTACAGCCCAGGGGAAGCCAAGATCATCCCAGCCCATGTCACAGGGGTCAGGTCCTGGGTCTATTTGACCCTGAGCCTGGGAAGTCAGAGGACTGTGGCAGGGGCCCTTGACAGTTGCCTCTCACTGACTCCGCGCTGCTGTCTGCTGGTTCAGGGGACAGCCAGGAGGCAGAGTGGCCTGAGGCTCCCCACACGGCCTCTCAACCTCTCAATTCTTCAGCGGGGCTGGGGAGGGCTCCAGCAGAGACCTTCACTCCCCCACACCCCTGTGGGGTGTGTGATTCCCCAGGGTCTGGGATGCTTTGAGTCACTGAGTAGCCCTGGGTGAGTCCTTTCTTCTTGGTGGCCCTCCAGGCCACAGTTTCTGCATTTGAGCAGAAAAGGCACGGGGGTAAAGGGACTCCAAGGACGCCAACATCTCAACACCTGTGAGCCCTCGTCCTCCTGGTAAGTCCCTTGGAGGCCGGAGACCTGGGAGAACCTGCCTCCTGTTCTTACGTATCTGTGAGTCCCACCTGCACCCTGAGTCCCAGGGTGGTCCAGGGTAACAGTAGCAACCAGCCCAGTCCCTGTCAACTGGAATCCAGGGACCTGAGGCCAGGGAGAGTGGTGGGGAACTAGGAGGACAGACACCACAGCTTAGGCACCAGGTAAATCTTGGTCCAGGTGCACAGGTACTTGGGTCTTCTCTGTGATGCCCCCAGCCCCTGCCTTGCCCTTAAGTACTATGGTCGGGTCCAGAAGCTGGGGATACCCACCAGTGCTTCACGCCTAACGGCTCCCTCCTGTCCAGTACTTAGCCATGGCTCTTGCACAACACCCGCCAAATTGTGGATTTCTGACCCTGCCCCCTGCCAAAGGTGCGACACCCTCATATTTAAAACCCTGAGTGACCCAAACCCTGACACCTCCATTCATAGTCCAGGAAGCTGAGGACAGAGAGTGGAAACACTGGCCTGAGCCACACAGCAATGGCAGCTGAAACACGGAGGGCACATGGGAATCCTGCCCCCACCCCAGACCTCTCCCAGCTGCTCCCAGGAGGCTGGCTGAGTGGGTGCAGGTGGTGGAGGGCAGTTAGTCCAGGTGGAGGAGATAAGACCTCACCCCTTGTAGGGTGGCTGCTGAGATAACCATATCAGCTTTGTGGGGGGTGTGGGCTCGTGCTGGGCACCAGGCCCAGAGAGAGGGCTGGCCAAACAGCCTGGGCTGTGTCTGAAGCTGGTGAGCGGGAGGCAGGCAGTCCTGCTGGACATTCAGGGGCCCTCTGGGCCCACTGGGAGGGGAGAGGAGCCTTTGGCAAGAGGCAGGGCAGAGGTGGCAGCCACCTGGGCTGGGCTGGGTTGCCATGTGCTTTGGGCGCATCAGGACGCCAGCCCAGCTGCACCATCCCCAGAGAGAAGAACCTCTAGGGGTGGTCTGTTCTAATGACGGAGCTGGAAATGGTCAGCTGTGGAACCCAGCAGGGTGCCTGGTGATGACCTGTAAAGACACAGGCCAGAGGACAAGGCTCACTGCGGGCCCCAGATGTCAGTGCTGGTTGACCACCTTCTGTTTCCAGGCACACAGGAACACGCAGCCAGCCACCCAGCATGCTAAGGGGTCGTGTCCCTGCCCTCTGCCATTAGTGATGCCTTTCTCCAGATTTTGAAAGCAATTAGGTCTTTCTTCCAAATCATCTCGTCCGATAGCAATTATCTGAGAGAATTAGTGCCGGGAGGCAGGAGCTCGGGAGGGGCGGATATGGCAGTGGGGAGGTATCCCAGGAAGTGAGCATGGGAAAGATTCACGACCTGTCCTGGCACAAAGCATTTTCTCCGCCTCCCCATCACTGTCACTCCCACAGGACAAGGGCCAGGGCTGGTTCTGAATGGCCCCCAGGAGACTTAGATGTTGTTTGGTTGAAGGAACAGATAATAAAAATGGGGACGCGTCTCAGAGGCCCCACCAAGGTCTTTCCTGCCTTTTACAAACCCTGTGACTGAACAAGCGGAGTCCTATAGCTAGGGAAGGGGAGCTCTGCTGGAGTGGGGAGTGGCCTGTCCCCAGGGGCTCTAGCATGGGGAAAGAAGGGGACAAGGGCAAAGACGACCTGTCAGTGATGGATTTCAGGCAGTAGAGAGGGATCTGGGGGTAGTCACCACGGACAGAGGGTGTCCCCAAAGGTCCTTCAAGCACATTACTGGCTGATTCCCGATTTACAGACAGGAATGCAAATCGTCCAAAGCAGCACCAGAGGCCACCGACCGCCAGAGGCAGCATGGAGCACAGCCCACCCCACAGTGGTGCAGGTGTTCCGGGGGCCCCTGGGTGGCGCTGCAGGCTCAGTGGTCCCTCAGGCAGGAGCATACTCTGTCCCATGTCCCCACCCCCCACCCAGGGTGTTAACTCTTTCGGGGGTACTGGGGACTTTACTGCTGAGCTACACCCCCAGTTTTATTTTATTTTTTGAGACAGGGTCTTGCTAAGTTGCTTAGGGCCTTGCTAAACTACCAAGTCTAGCTTTGAGTTGATGAATCTCCTGCCCCAGCCTCCCAAATCTTTGGGCTCACGGGCATGTGCCACCATGGAACTCTGCTGACCATCTGTGGACCAAACCCTGCGAGGTAGGGGGTGAAGGGAACACTGTCCAGAGCCCTCCCTGCTCACAGTGTCCACGTGACACCAGGAGTCAGCAGGTTTGGACAAGTGGACCACAGAGGAGACAGCCTGTGCAGAAACCCTGCAGGTGGGACAGATCTGGGCATAAGAGTTGGCACTTGAGGCAGCAAGTACCTTTCAAGGGGCATCCAGTCCTACCCACAGGAGGAAAATGAGGCTCAGATAAGGCCAAAGGCTTGTCTCAGGTCACAGAGCAAGTAGCGAGCTCCAGGGCCCGGGACTGCATAAAAGTCGTAGAGAACTTCCAGGCCCTGTTGCTGGTCTCTTGACCAGGAGCCTTCCTGCCGCATCCCTTTTCTTTCCCATCACTTCCAAAGTGGGACGATGGCTGAGGCTGAATCACTTCCCAAGGTCACACTCCACCCACTCCCACCTCTCCCAGTGACCTCTGTTCCCACACTAGAATTGGCCCCCCACCCATTCCCACCCCAGGTAAGAGCAGGTGGAAGCCACATGGAGTGGACCAGGGTGGGCTGCGTGGCACTGGCTGCTCATGAGCATCGCCCTCTGCTTCTGCCGGGCCCTGCTCGGGGGAGGGGGGGGGCTCCCGCTGGCGCCACCTTGGGCAGGGAGGGCGTGGGGAACTCTGGGTTTCCTCCAGCTTTCATGAGTTAAAGACTCTGAGTATAGAGACCTCAGGCTGAGGCGGGCAGGGGGAGAGTCCTGGAGAACTTCCCAGAAGGCGAGACCCTGGGGAAGAGCCACAAGAACCCATGGAACCAGGCAGCACCTTCCCCACCCAGAGCAGGTGCCCAGGTGCCAGGGACTATCACAATCACCCGAACATTAGGGGCTTCAGGTCCTGGAATAGAAGTCCAGAATCTCCCTGGAATAGACACTCAGGGTTGCCTTCTGGAGGGGATAGGGAGGGCATGTCCCCAGCTCCGTGCCCACAGAGGACCCCCACTAAGGATATAACCAGAAGTGCAATACTTGTGTCCTTTCCATCTCCCAAAGGGGACCCCAGCACAAACTAATAGGCACCCTAATAAAGAGTGGAGGACATTCCCTGCAGCTGGTGGGGTGACCTCTGTTCCCACACTAGAAAGGCCCTCAGAGAAATCCTAGCACAGCATCTCAGAGTTTCTGTTGTTATTTAAGGCTACCAGCACTTCTCCAAGCATCTCTAAGCTCAGCTCAGAGCCGAGGAGCGTGCCACTTCCCCTCTCCTTTCTTCTCACCTTCAGGATGCCCCAAGAGGAAACCCAAAGGTCTCCCCGGCTGGGGACGTAGCTAAGTGTGTGTGTGCTTAGCACACGCAAAGCCCTGGGTAAGCCCTCCCCAGAACTGTCCCAACCCAGGACGTCCAGCCCTACCCACTGTGCAGACGAGGAGGCGAGGGCCGGTGAAGGGCAGTGCCCTGCCCAAGGACAAGTTCCTGGACTCCTGGGGCTCAGGGGTGGGACTGCAGTGCCCTGAGGATCTGACTTGTTCACTGAAGCAACCACAGGCAAGCACCTGGCCCCAGGTGGCCACAGGCCACCCTGCCCCTACCCATGTGATGCCAGGTGTGGTCCTGAGTGGGGCAGGTGGCCCATTGCATGCAGCCCTCTGAGCCCCCATCTCCTAGAGGGCTGCAAAACAAGGCTGGTGCAGGTCCAGGGACACATGAGCTGCCCTTCCCATGCCCCGAAGGTGCCTGCAGACGTGGCCCTCAGCCCTGGGCCTTTGTCTGCTAGACCAGCCCCGTCCTGTCCCACAGAGGAGTGAAATGAGCTGAAGTTTATAAGGACTTGCCAGGTTGCTGGTGAGTGAAGTGGATCTGAGACCAGCTGTCACCACCCCCAACCCAGAGCACCCAGAGAGGGAAGGGAGCTCCTTAGCCACCAACCTCCCTGGATACCATGACACCTGGATACCTAGGGCCAGACACCGATGGGGAGTCCAGGGCAGATTCCAGCCCCCAAACTCATGCAAACTCCACACTCTGCTCCATAATATATCTGGGTTGGTTTTTATATAAAAATAACAGTTTCCCCCATTTCTTGCTTTAGGAAAACATGCTGTGCTCCGGTGTGGCTTTAGGTCCCTCCCTCGACTCCTGGTCCTGTTGGGCCCAGAGCCACGCTGCAGAGCAGCTGAACAGGCAGGCAAGAGGGTGGAGGGAAAGACAGCAGGGCCTGCAGGACACACAGGGCATCTGGGCTGGGCACGGAGGGTGAGGCTGTCCATCGGCCGGTCTGGCTCGTGGCTGCTGAGGCCCTGGCCTTACCCCTTCTCTCCTCCGGGGGCTGCCTTCACTGGTGGAGGTAGGCATCCAGCCAGATGTCGCCAGACTTCTTCAGGGACCTGGGAGGTGTGGCGGGCATCAGAGACTCAATTACAGGACGCCAACACTCTCAGGCTCCCGTGGTGCGTCCCCAGTCCCCCGTGAGTCCCCTCCCCCTGAGGCAAGCAGGTGAACGGGGCCAGGGAGCAGCCTGGGCACACATGAGCTGGATGGGATGCAGATGGGGGGGGTGTGGACAAAGCCAAGTCGGGGTAGGAGCCCAGGTGGGCCTGTCCCTCCTTCTCCTAGTTCCTGTTGCCCTCTCCTGCTGGACCTTGTGACCTCACACACCTAGGACATGGAATCTTCCCACCAGGCGCCTGAAGTCAGGCAGAAGAGTCAGACATATCAAAACTCGCTAGGAAACCCCGTGTCAGGGCTTACACGGTGCTCTGCTGAATGGCACGGACTCAGAGGACCAGGCTGGGAGAACATGGGGAGACCTCAAGTCTGGACAGCAGCAGCCAAGCAAAGGGAACAGTGTGTGCCAGGGCCCAGAGGAGGAAGACCCGCGATCTGATCTGTGTTCCCACCTCCAGGCTGCCGGGGCTTCTGCTCTGCCTTTCTGCTTTGGCGCTGGCCCATAATGTGCTCCCAGCCACAGCCTCGTCCCAAGATGAGGCTCAGGTCCTACACAGCAGTATGCTCCTGCCTCAGGGCCTTTGCACGGTGGTGCTCTTTGCCTGGAATATTCTTCTGCCAGATGCCCCAGGGCCAGCCCTCTCAGCTTCTGTCTCTGCTCACATGCTGGCATCTTGACCCTGCCCATCTGCCATCCTGTAACTGCAACCCCTGCCTACTTTCTAATCTCACCTGCTCCTGGTTTGTTTGTTTGTTTTGTTTTTTGCCAGAACACGTTCACTTTTTCTGCAGTTGACTCATTTTTCTTTTAAATTACTTGCTCTCTCTTGCTAGAATGTCAGCTCCAGGAGGGCAGGGACCGCCTGTCTGGCTCACTGATGTATTTATAGATGCTCCAAGAATTCTCACTGTGTGAGTCAATGCTGAGAAGGGAGGAGGCATGGCTGACCCAGAGAGGCCTCGTCGCCAGTTCTTAGGGGGCCCGTGTGGACGAGGGGCCAGGTGCTCAGCAGCTGAGCTGGGACGGGGATCAGTGTGGCCCCCCGCCCCCGGCACCTCCAGGAAGGAAGGGGCTGGGCAGAGCCTTACCCGACGATGTCCAGCAGGGCAGTGAGGAAGGGCTTCACCTCATAGTGCAGGCCGTGCTTGGCACACAGCGCCTTGACCAGAGGGGCCACCCTGCGGTAGTTGTGCCTTGGCATGGTGGGGAAGAGGCTGGGGGGGACATGGCCGGCGTTTGAGCAGGGCTGGCAGAGGGAGCCCCGCCACGCCTCACCTCCCCGGCCCCACACACCACCTCTCCCAGGGGCCCTGCAAGCCCAGGACTCTGGTCCCGGCCTCCCCATGAAAGGTAGGGAAGGGGCTCCTGGCTCCGCCCCGGGGCTCACCCACTACCTGTCAAGACCCGAGGTCACACTCACTGGTGCTCGATCTGGAAGTTGAGGTGCCCGCTGAACCAGTCGATGAAGAGCGAGGGCTCCACGTTGCAGGTGGCTGCCAGCTGCCAGGGGCAGGGGGCATAGGTAAGGGACGCTGGCTCAGGGTCCTGCCCCCCGGGCCTGCCTCCCATACCTGGCCAGCCCCATCCCTCCCTGCCCACTGGGACTCCCCCGCACTCCCAGGATGGACCCCGCCCAGCCCTCCCCACTGCCCACCTGAGAGCTGGCCCAGTCCCGGTGCTTCTCGTGGCCGATCTCCTTGGGGATGTGGTTCATCTGCGTGATCCACACGAACCAGTGGCTCTCCAGGACCCTGTGGGAGTCCCGGGCATTGTCCCACGTCCAGCTCACCACTGAGGTACCAGGAGTGCAGGCTGCAGTGTGCCTGTCCCCAGGCCCGGGCCCCAGCTTCCCCTGGGCGCAGTGGGGTCGGGGAATCGCTCCCTCCCGGGGTTTAAAGCAGCTGGATGGAGCAGTGACCACTGCAAGGCTGAGCGGAGACTCCGGGCTCGTGGGGGTGGACACTCAGGGGTCACCGGCGAGCCAGGCTGCTTCCCCCGACCTGCCCACCCCAGCGGCCTCCCCTCATGCGTATTTGATTCCGCCGACAGCCCAGGGCGGTGGCACTGCTGTGGGTTAGGGTGGGGGAGGGGTGGACGCTGCCCAGGAGGACTGTGGTCAGGGCCGCCTGCTGCTGGAGTGTGACCTCCCCACTCCCACCATCCTGGCCATACCTGACGGCAACAAAGAGAAGCAGGGCCCCGGGGACACCGTAGAAGGGGACGTAGGACAAGAAGAAGCGGGAGTAGAAGCTGGCAGCCCAGAGCAAGTCCTGCAGGGGGTGGAGGCAATGCTGAGCGGCCTCCGGGGCCGAGGTCTGGAGGCCGGCCAGCGGGAGGGGGTGAGGGAGGGGCCGGGGCCATCTGACCTTCGGCTTCATTTGCCTGGGAGCCCTGGATAGGCCACTGCCCCTCCCTGGGCCTCTACTTTCTCAGCTGGGTGAAAGGACAAGGTCCCTGTGCTGTCAGCTCACAGGGCTGACCACGGAGGGGAAGGCTATCTATCATGTGCCTGGCACCGCGGGCCCAGAGACCCCTGCGGACACCCCTACAGAGACGCACTCGGTGCCTCTGTGGGCGCTTGCTCTCCCTGCAGGCTACACAGTCAGGCAGACACTTGCTCCCCACCCCCGCGCACCCCCATGCGTGGGCACCCCTCTGCCCTGGGGCTGAAGCCCTGCCCCGGCTGTCCACGGGTCCTGAGCATCCCCCACTCACTGTCCACTGCAGGCACACCAGCATGTACGCCAGATTCTCCACTTCAAAGTTCACCAAGGTGAGCAGCGGCGGGCCAACTGCAAGAAGGGGCAGAGAGCAGGAGCAGGGCTGGGGTTCGAGGAAGGGGGCAGAGGGGGCTGTACCTCCACACACCCCTGGGATGCTGGCACTGGTCCCGTCCAGCTGGGACGACCCTGCGTCGTCACCCACAAGGCCTGGTCCACACTTGTTCCCTCGGCTCACCCCTGCCTGCCGTTTCCCGACTCCCACGTCAGGGAACAGCCCCACACGTTCCTGCCCTTGAATCCTCACCCTGCCCCTGTTTGCCAAAACTGCCCAAATGCTCTAGGGCTCCAGACCACCCTCTGTGAGGGCAGAAGGGAATCCTGGCTGGGGCCTGGAAAGTTCCGTGCAGGGCTTGACTGCGGTGGGGGAGCAGCCAGGCAGAAGGCTTGGTGCTGGGGAGAGGGAGCCCAGGCCGCAGGCCTGGAGCAGGCAGGGTGTGGGCGCCTCGGGACAGTGGGGAGGACAGTGCAGACTCAGGCATGGCCCTGCCACGTCCCCACCCCCAGAAGGACTGATGCACACTCACTCAGGAAGAAGTACAGGTGCTGGTGGTTGTAAGGAAGGTATCTGCGTTTCTTCTTGCCGTACTGTGGAGACAGGCGGCGGCTGGGGAGAGCAGCTCTCCAGGCCAAGGTCAGGGGGCTGGCTGGGGCCAAGGTCAAAGGCAACTCTAGATTCTAGCAGCTGGGCTCCTGGTCCCAGCTGGGTAGGAGGTGGGGAGGAAGGGAAGCACCTGGGACAGGGGCTGGGACTGGAGCTCAGTAGGGATGAGGGCAGGGGCTGGACGGGGCCACCGTGGGTCGCTCAGTTGCTGCCAGGTCCCTTCAGCTGCAGGCCTGGCCTAAGGGTGTCCATGTCCCTCCCCACCCACCTCGACAGACGACTCCCCCAGGAGGAAGACAGGTGCCACGGTCACGTCTGGGTCCTTGTGGAAGATGTTGGGCTTGGCGTGGTGCTGGAAGTGGCGGAAGTTCCACCAGTGGGCCGAGAAGCCCTAGGAGAGGAGGGGCTTCAGGGGCAGGGCCAGGCCACGCCCCCCACTGCACCCACACAGCTGGGCAGGCCCGGTGCACTGCCCTCCTTGGGTACTGGCCACCATCCCAACAGGGCCCTCACCTTCAGCTGTCCCATCACAAACTGCTGGGCCACGTGGTTCCACCGGGACTTCCTGAAGATGGAGGCGTGGCCCAGGTCATGCTGCAGGCACCAGCACTGGGCCTGGGGAGAGGGGCAGGGTTAGTGGAGAGCAGGAGGGCAGGACAGAAGAGGGCACCGGCTGCATGGGACCCCAGCCCTGAGCTGCAGGGCTCTTCTAGCTCCCAGGGCTATGCCCACTGCAGACGCTGCGTCACTTAGACGTCCCTGGGGGCCATTTCCTGTTTTTACCAAGCAGGGTAACTGAGTGTTGGCAGCGGTGAAGGGCCTTGCAAAGGTCAGAGCCCAGTGAAAGCCTCAAAAGCAAAGTTTCTCTTCAGCCCTCTCCTGCCTTCCTGTCCCCGGCTCCTTCTCCCCTAAGGCAAGCCACAGAAGCTGCCATGTCCCAGGGCAGGGCACAGAAAGCAGAGCCCCTCCCCGCTGAAGCCCAGCCTCGAGGCCTCGCGACAGGACTCTCAATCTCCCTGACTTGGAGGCAGCCCCAAAGAACTGCTCTGACCCATCTTATCCAACAGTGGATCCTAAGACCCCCATTTTCAGAAAGGGCCCTGTCTGCACCTGGGAGGGAAGAATGCTGCCCAGAGAGGCCCTGGAGAATCTGGACAGGCCTGGCCGGGCTTCCCTACTCGCCCGTCTCCATTGGCTCTATTCTTCCTGTCCAGTTCTACACGGCTGCCCTGCTGCACGGACCCCAAGGGTACAAATGGAGAGTTTGCCCTGGTCGGTCTTTGGTTCTTCCCTCTGAAGACTCCCTTGTCCCATAAAATGATGAGCAAATAAATTTGCTTTTCTCTCGTTAACCTGTCTTGTATTACAGGGGCCATGACCTTTATTTTATGGTGGGCAGGAGGGATCGTCCTTTTCTTCCCCTACACAAGTCTGTCCTGGGGTTGTGACCTTGGGCTCTCTGCCCTGTTCCTACACAGGATTTATTAAGCAAAGAACTTCCTTGGCTCATGGAGACCACGGCTTGACCGCAGGCAATCCCCACGGGCCGCGGGCAGCTCACTCTCGGGTGTATCCGTTCACACAGCACATACGTTCCCGCGCCCACATGTGCTGGGCCTCTCTGTTGGGTAGCCCGGGGATCACCTGGGAGACGGCCAGGATGAGGGCAGCAAGGGTGCTGGGCACCCAGCCAGGGCCCAGGAGGTAGACGATGAGCCAAGCCAGCACCTCCATAGCCAGGATGTGGCCCAGCAGGAGGGCGAAGAAGGTGGGATCAGCTTCGAACAGCTTCATGTCCTCGGCCGCTTGGCGCAGGGCTCGGAAGTCCTCAATCAGCTGGACCTGCCATGGCAGAGTAGCCGCTGAGCTGAGGTGAGGCCTCCCCAGAGGGCTCCCACAGCTCCCAGGTCCTAGCCTCTCCTCCTAGAGCCTGGCCCAAGAGGTGAGGGCAGAGGGGAAGGATGGAGGCATGGGAGCACCCGGCCAGGGGGTGAGCTAGGGGCCTGACCGAGGGCCAAGTTTCCCCCTCCGCACAGAGTGTGGGGTGGTGAGAAGCAGAGAGCCAGAAACAGGAGAGGAAACCCTCAGAACTCAGCTCTCCCAATCCTGACTGTAGCGGGGGCTGCCAGGCCTGGGGCAGGGAAGGGCCTCCCCTGGGAACACACAGCAGGCGCCTGGCCAAGTCTTATCTGGAGCCCCGACTTGTGCAGGACATTGCTACAACTGTGACTGTCTGCCCAGGTCCGGGTGGCAAGCCCAGCTCTGACCCTGCATCCCCCAGCATAATGTGGCAGTGTCCCCAAGCCCTCCAGCACCGTCCCCCTCACGTTCTGAGGTCCGTCCTGGCTGGGCTCTTCTGGGGCCAGCTGTCCGATCAGCAGGGGCTGCAGGAACTTGCGCACAAAGTTGAGATCCTGGTGGAAGGCACGGAAGGCGTCCTGAAGGAGAGCAGACAGTCAGGTGGACAGACAGACAGACAGCTGGAGTAGCACCCAGAAGCGGCTGGCAGAGACAGGGCGGAAGGGCTGTTGATGGATGGGCAGACAGACAGACACATGGAGAGAAAGTCAGCGGGCTCTTCAATAGCCAAGAGGACCAAGGGGACCAGGCGTGCCTGTGAGCCCTCCCTGGGGCTTCCCAGGCCCTGGGTACCCGCTCAAGACCCCTGGCCTGCTGTGCCCCTTCTGCTCTGCCCGGCGCACAACATTCTCCAAACATGGCTGAAAGGACGAAAATCCGGTTTACAGAGAGACATCCCTGGAGGGCTGATTCCTTTCATGAAAGGGTTTGGCTCTTCCAAAAAGCTTTCTCTAAATTATACCCTTTTATTTTTTCCCAGCCTGGGGATGGGACCCAAGGACATTCTACCACTGAGCTGCACTCCCAGTCCTAAGACAGCGCCTTGCTAAGTCGACCAGGCTGGCCTTGAACTTGTCATCCTCCTACCTCAGGCTCCTGAGCAGCTGGGATTATGGGTGTGGGGGTGGGGAGCCTTGTAATTAAGGACACCTGGGCTCCTGAGTGGAAACTCTCAGTGGCGGGACACAGAGTTCTTGGGGTGTACAAGGAAGGATACTTGACTGGGTAAACACATTTGGTTTAAAAGTAACAGAAAGTACACTTTTTTTTTTTTAAGTTAAAAAAAAAAAAAAAGAAGAATCTAACATTCCTGTGATTCTGTGTAGTAGCTGGAGTGGGGGTGGGTGCCACGCAGGAGAAGGAAACAAAGAAGAGAGGGGCTGAAGGACAAGAGAGAGGGGGACAAAGATAAGGAACTGGGGAAAGAAGCCGTCAGGAAGCGGCAGCGCTGATGGGCGGGTAAACGTGAACTTCACACCGCGGCTGGCTCAGCCTTCCTGGTCGAGGTTGGTATTGCACTTGGCACAGACCCTGTTTGTCCGTGGTATTGTATTTGGCCCATTAATTGTTCACAGCTCTCCGATTTATTTAGCTTTCAGAGCCTCCCTCTGATTGGGCGAGCCACAGCCAGACAGCAGGCTGGACTACACTGCCTGGGCAGAGTGTCCCCATGGGCCTGGGAGAGGTGACTGAAGGGGCCCCCAGACGCTGAAGGAAATAAGTACCTTTGAGGGAGGCAGGTGGAGAACAGGGGCCTCCTGCTGTCCTCTTGCTAACAAGCCTACCAACGTGTGCAGGTGAGAAGTGGTGTCTCTGGCCACCTCACTGGGGACAGTGTGACAGTGCTAACTACCCTTATCTGATCACTGTACATTATATAGATGTATTGAAATATCACACTGCACCCCTGAATATGTGCAATCATTAAGTGTCCATTAAAACAGACGATGAAACTGAAAGTGATAGGACATCACTGCCAGGCCAGCCCTGCACCGTCCAGGGGAAAGGAAGCACCCAGGCCCCTGCCAGCCGCCATTTAGAGGACATGCATGGTGGGTCCACCACCTCCTGCCCTCTGCTGCCTGGGCCCTAGCTCCCCGGGGATCTGGGGTTGGTGAGGGGAGGGGAGAAAGGAGGGAAGACTGTTCCTGGGGATTTGCTGCCCTGCCCCCAGTGTGACCTTGACCTAGTCCACTGACCTACTGGCCTTGATTTCCTGAGCGAATCAAAGTAGCCAGACTTCAGGGCCCTTCAGGTTCGGGCTGCTGAGCATGACATTTTTCGGTGTACTGCTCACTGGCATTAAGTAGGTTCACCTGTGCTGGGTAACGATCACCACCGTCCATTTCCGAACTTCATCTCTCCCAGCTGAAACACCAGACCCCACTCCCTCCTCCCCAGCCCCAGGATTTCCTCCCTCCCAGCCCTTCCCTCCCCCTCCCATCTGTTCTGTGGCCACCACCTTGAGCTAGAAGCTGAGTGCTGGGCACGCATCCACCTCCTTGGTCCTGTCTGACCCAGGCCTGCACAGGCACCGAGGGGGGTGCACCAGTCCAGGCCTGTCCAAGGGTCTTCCAGTCAAGTCTATCCCTTAGAGGGGAAGTGTGAGCCCCCTCAGCGCAGGTCAGAAAATTCTAGGGCAATGTGGTCAGGGCTCTAGCAGGTCTTGGAGAGTAGCCTGGGCTACAGGGCTGGAGAGGCATCGTGGTGCCTGAACTTCTTGAGAACCAGCCAGGTAGGACCCTCAACCAGACCAAAGCCTGATAAACCGGCAAATAGCCTTTTCTAGGTCATGTGACCTACTAGTCCTCTCTGGGCCTCTGTTCAAGGACCCAGGGGCCATGCAGAAATGAAGACTCAGAGAGGTTAAGCCTCTTACTCAAGGTCACACAGCTCCATTTGACTGATACTAGATCAGAACCCAGGGCTGACTGTGAAGCTGTGCTTGTGGCCACTCAGCAGTCTCCATGGGGCAGCCATTCCTAGGCTAGAAGGGAGGCAGTGAGCCTCCTGGGTGGGGCGGGGTGAGGCCAGTCATTATCCCGAGTGGCCAAGGACACAGTTGCTGGAAGTTTGGGCTGTGGTGCATGGGAGAGCAGTTCTTGGGCCATGTCAATGGGTCTCAAGGAACTGCAGGAGCCCCCGACCCCGGCCGTGTACCCAGAAACATCCTTCTAGGAGGATGTATCCAAACCCTATGACCCCTACCTGGAGGTACCATTTAATTAGGGAGGAGAGTGGTAGGGATGCCTGTCCAGGTCACTTAGTAGTGGCAGAGCTGGGATTCAAATGAGAGTGTGACGCTCATGCTCCCTCAGGATACGGCTAAAACCCAGCCCTGCCGGCCCTGAAACCTCAGAGGGGCTTGGCTGACTCCCAGGGCCCCTGACTGCCCTTAGCAGGCCCATGCACTCCACGTAGCGGCTGGTGGGAGTGTTGAAGGGGACAGTCTGGAGCCAGCCTGCCCAGGATGGAGCCTGAGATACCACTTAGGAGCCAAGGAGCCCCAGAGAAGACTGCACCTCCTTCCCCGCATTTCTTCAGGAACCATTAAGGCCCATCTCACGGGCTGCTGGGAAGACAGAGTTGGCACAGGTAAAGCACTCGGAGGGACCTGGTGGCAGCGAGTGCTCCACAGCTGGGCTCTCATCTGAGCCCCTGGCCCTGATGACCTTTTCCTGAGTCCACTTAGAGTTCAGAGCCTGCTGACACGGGCCTGAGCATGGGCAGGAGCACTCCATCAAGTCCCAGCCACGCCTCCCGCCAAGGGAGAAGGGTAAGCAGCCTCCTTTCACCCAGAGATGGCAGGGGAGGGAGGGAGTTTTCGTCACTGGCCAAAGCACAGAGAACATTCCAGATCAGTCAGGAAGTTCAGCAGAGCAGGGAATGCACAGAGCTGCTGGGGTTTGGGTGGTCTGGACCTGCCTCCTTAGGCCTGTGCTGGAGATGGGGGTGGAGCTGGGGTCTCCAAGGACACCCCCCGGAAACTTCTGTCTCTCTGGCTCTGCTGGGTGGAGGACAGAGCAGGAACTCAGGTCACTGAAATGCCCTCCCCATCCTCCCTCCAGCGCCCCACTCCAGGAGGCCAGCGGGGAAGCCACCAGAACATCACTTTTACAGATGGGGAAACTGGGGCTCGCGAGGAGGAAACCAGACACTGCTCCGAACGTGGCACATCCAGTTCTAGTCTGTGCAGCAGGGCTCAGCTGAGGGCTGGTACCCCTGTCTCCCAGCATCCCTGGCGTCCCAGTGAAGGGTGGGCATGCACGATAGGTCCTCCTCCAGCCAGCACCCTTGGTCCCACAGGTGCGGATCACAGTGCTGGCCCCAAAGCCATCAGGCCCTTGGGCACTTGGTATTCTCTCCACCAGTGAGTTGTGGCTCTAGCACTGGAGCTCAGCTGGGGCCCTAGGCACCCTCAGGAGGGAGCAGGAGGGCTGCCTGACACACTAGGTCACCAGCATTCCCACCTTTGCACTCTGCATTCCTGACAGCGTGGGAGAATCCTGACTCCTCCCCGAGCAGGGGGAGGGAGTACTGCATCCCCCAGGGAAGGAGGCTGGGTGGATGAGGGCATTGCCAAAAGTGCCCACCAGAGACCACAGTGGCCACACTTCACAGGGAGTGGCCCTTCAGCAGCAGAACTTTCAAAAAAGCCAGTATGGTGGGTGGGGCCAGAGAGGGGACACTGGGTCTCAGATGGCAGGCGCCACCTTGTTCTCACTTGGCCTCGGACCTGCCTAGTCCTGGCCCTCCCCCTCTACAGCTCCCACCCAGACACAACCCCACCTTCCAAGCCCAAGGAAGAAGGCCCTGGCCTTTCAGGGTCCCAAGAAGGTCCCATTACATTACTTATTTTTGGCCTCCATCCCCTCATCTGCAAAATAGGGGAACAAGAGGACCCATCTTATAAAATTGTTTAGAAAATTAAATTAGTTACCAAGCCCAAAACTCTCAGAACACTGCTTGTTCAGTAATTGTTGGCTGAAATTACTATGACACAGCCTCTGGTGGTAGCACTGGCCACCCCCACCTCCAGCTGAGTTCAGGCCCAGCAGGCTACTTAGAGGGAGGATCCCAGGCCAAGGGGCTCAGAAGGTCTATTCAATCTGCAGCAGTTAGTGCTTTAGCCCAAAGGGCACAATGGGGTGCTGGGAAACCCCTCATCTTTCCCATGGAGCTGTGGGCAGGGAATTCATCACATATATGTGTACAAGGCTTATTGGCCCATGGTGAAACATCACACAGCTGCCCCATACCATCCATCATCACACGGTGCCCAAGATGAAAGTATTCTTATCCCCATTACACTGATGGGACAATCAGGACCCAGAAGGGAAGAGTCATTGTGTGAGCCCAAGACAGCTCCCTGTTGAGAGACGACTCAGAGCTAACTCAAGGGGCGCCCACCAGTATCCCTGTGTCCACAGCATCTCTTAAACTCTTCCCTGGCCACACTGCACCTTGAGGTCCAGCTGAATGGTCACTTCTGAGTGGCCTCCCTACCATCCCTTCTCTCAGCCCCTAGCTCTTTTCCTAGAAGGTTCCGCCTTTCCCCTCTCCATTAGGAATCAGATTCCCATGGCTCCCCCTCCTAAAGAGAATAAAGCAAAGTCCATCCAAGGGCATGAAGGGTCAGGAGGAGCCCTGGTACCGCTGCCTCTTGCACTCCTACCCCCACCACTGCTATCTACTGCCACCACGGTGCATTCCTTAGATATAAGACGTATGATCCCACCCCTGAGCCTTTTCTCTAGTGGATCCCTCTGCCAAGAAATCCTTCCCTGCAGATGTTTTGTTCATAGCTGCATCTTGAGGCTCATAAAAGCTCACTGATGGATATAAGGATCCAATCACTAAAGAATGAATGAATGATGGAAACAACATGCAGTCAGTATGTGGCGAAGAGCATGGCTGTGTGTTCAAATGCCAAACCTGCCACTTAATTTCACTTTGCCTCCCTGAGCCTTGATTTTCTAATCTGTAAGGTGGGAATAATAGTAACAGTGCCTGTCTCATGGGAGTATTTTAGGATTAAAAGAAAGTATTGGGGACTGGGGATATAGCTCAGTTGGAAAAGTGCTTGCCTCGCATGCACAAGGCCCTGCGTTCAATCCCCAGCACCACAAAAAAAAAAAAAAAAAAGAAAGAACTTTTATGGACAAGCATTGAATGTAGAATCTGGCATATAGAAGGTAGTAGGTACCTGGCTCTTATATACTCCTGACCAGAAGTGGCTGGGCCTCAGCCCCCTCTGGCTGGCTGTGCTAGTCCCAGGGTGCCTATGATAAACCTGGCCCTGGGCCCAGAGCTCTTTCCCCAGGGCACAAGGCTTTGTATCCCAGGATGGCCACAGGCTGACTTCATGGCACAGGAACTCTGGGAATTTCCTGGCAGGAAGGCTTCTGTTGCCTGGACATGAGAACAGCTGATGGGCTGGTGAGAGGTGACTGCCCCACCCCCATCATCTGAGCTCCAGGGTCGGGGATGGGGCCTCTGGGCTCCATTATACAGGGTCCAGGGCTGGTCCCGCCCCCAGTATGTCTTGTGGGCCCATCCTGGACAAAGACCGGGGTCCCCCGCACCCAGGCACTTCTCAACCCCTTTGGCCTGAGCAGACCAGGTACTTCCGGCAATTCCAACCAGTGTCTGGAGCCTTGAGGGAGCTGCATGATGGCCTCCAGCACCCCCTTTCTATTATAGACAGGGTTGGAACCAGACAAGGCCACCGAGAAAAGGCCCAGCTCTGTCACAGCCATCCTACTGCATTCTCCAGTGTGTGGGGCATGCTCACCCCGAGGAGCCTGCAACATGTACTGCACATAGAAACTCCGTCATGGAAGCCTTGGGGCCCCAGAGTTGAAGAAGCACAGTCCTACCCACTCCCCAGATGAAAAAACGGAGGCTCAGGAGTGGCATGCCTGGTTCAAGGCCATTCAGAGCCTCCAAAGGCCGACTCGGGCCCAGAGAGCCAAGAGATTTTTTTTTTTAAACAGGACTTACTGGCTATCAATGACAAAACCATCAGATGGAGGCCTGGCACCAAGCGGAAAAAGTGATTAACAAGTGTTCTCTGTAGTCCTTCCCTCACCTGCCCCCACCCTGGCCTACAGGTTGAAAAGGCCAGAACAGGCATTTATAACAAGACCCTTGAAGGGTGGCCACAGCTCAGGCAGTGGGGTTGTGACACCTCATGCCTGCCATTCCCTGGCAGAATCACACATAAAACCACACTTACAACTGTGTGTGGGCGCACATAGAGGCCTGCACGTGCCCACACACTGACTGGCCCACAGGCTGTTTCAACCCATGACTATGCAGTCCCCCAAGAATTTCAGGAGACTTCTCACTCTAATCCCTCAGCTCCCTGGGTCAGGAGAGGGAAGACAGGAATGCCGACAGCCCTGGCCAAGGCTGAGTCTCCTCTGCCACCTAAAGTTCGGCCATTAGGGATTCATTCCCTCAGATCTCGAAGGGCTTCCTGATACCCAGTGTGCCTACCTAGAATTCTGGACTCTCAAGGACAGAGCACTGTGGCCTCAATCCCTATTGTCCAAGGTGGGGGATAGGGGAAAAGAGCTGGTAAGACCTTGGACAGGCTGCGCCACCGGTGGCTGCTCCAGCCGGCCAGCCCTGCGGGCAGGGCCACATCCCTCCTTGTCTAGACAGGGGCTGGGAATGGGAAGGCAGGGTCCCCAAGGGCCAGCCTATTCCTGGGGTGACTGTGCTTCCCAATGAGGCCCACCCTGCCTGGCTGGCAAAACCCTCCCACGTGCAGCTGCCAGCCCAGCAGAGGTGAGTCACTGGCCCTCCAAGGCTTACAGCAGCTCTGAGGAAAGCCACAGACCTCCAGGCCCTGCCCAAGCTTTGCTGCCCAGCCCCCAGCCTCTAATGGCACATCCCTGTCGGCCTCTAGGGACCCAGCCTTGCCCCTAGCAGCAGGCAAGCACCCAGCAAGCACCCAGCAAGGCTGCCCTGGCCTGGGAGACCCAAAACGGAGTCACTAATCTCAGTGCAACACGGAGGGTCCTCACCTAGGGCCATCTCTGCCGCCATGGCACACCCACCTCTTAGGCCCCTTCCTCCCCCACGCAGACCTGCTCCACGGCCTGACAGGCGATTGAGTCCTCCAGGCAAGGAAGTGACCTCTACCCTACATCAGGCCCCGGGTTCCATCCCAATTCTGGATCCCGGGTGTGGAGGTCAGAGGTCAAGGAGGGGAGGAAGGATGCGAGGGCCGCGCAGACGGAACCCGGCACAGTGCCAGACCCAGGTCCCCGCGAGAGCCAGGCTCCACCCCGCCACGGTGGGCTTCCTTACCGTGGCGTCCTCCGCGCCGTGGTGGCCGATGAGGCGGCTGCCCCCTGGGTGCCGCTGTGCCCAGCGACTGATGTCGTAGACGCGGCGCTCGATGACCAGCCACTTGTCGCCCGGCAGGTCGTGCTTGCGGATCTGCTCCCAGCGGTAGACGGGTAGCGGCGCCCCCGGCTGAGCGGGCCCCTCCCGCGGCCCCGGCTCCCCGCCGGGCTCCCCGACGCCGCCCATGTCTGCGCGCAAAAGTCCTCGGGAAGCCGGGACGCGCCGAGGTCCGAGCGAGACGCCGAGGGAAGCGAGGTCGCGCTCCCGGGGGGCTTCCTCCGCCGCCGCCGCCGCCCCTGCCGGCCCCGCCCTGCCGCTGCGGCCGCCGTACGAGCGTGCGCCTGCCCGGCTCTCGGCGCAGGGAACTTTTCCCTCCCTTATAACCGCGCTGACAGCGCTCGCCTCGCCCGCCCCTCGCCCCGGCCCCCGCGCCGGCCGCCCCGCGCCCGCTCCAATCCCGGCCCGGCGCCTCGGCCTCCATTGGCTGGCCGGGGAGGGCGGGGTCGCAGCGGGCTCCCCCACCCGGACGGCCGCGGCCACCACGCCCGCTCTGCCCCCGGGGCACCGTCCCGCCCCCAGCTCCGGCGACTCGCCGCTCGGCCGGCCGAGGAGGGGGAGGGGGACTCCACAGTCATCCGCGTCCTTGCGCAGAGCCCGGACGCGCCCTCGGGGCCGGAGAGGGAGCGCAGGTCTGTGCCTAGCTGGGCTGGGGATGGTGGCTCTCCGGGCTTCCAGCCGCGCGTCCCAGAACCTTAAATCCCGAACTCCCCGAGAGGGGGCCACTACCTCGGGGCGATAGTAAATAGCCTTCAAACAACGGGCCTCCAACGTCGCGCTACGAGACTGTTTCTGTGACCGGCTGCTGGACCCGGCGACCTCTTCTCCGGACTGCAGGGCTGGGAGTGCCCAGGAGTGGCCGCCAGGGTGGAAGAGGTTCTTACAGAGGGCACCCTGGAGTGCTGCCATTCAGGGGGTGAAAGAACATCCAGTGCTAGGCTGGATGGCTTGGATGTCACCACATCCCACTCTTGCCCCCACACTGTCCCATTATTTTACTTCAGCTGAAGTTCTTTTGAGAATGTAGGTAGATCCCCAAATTGCTCTGTTTCTTGGAGGTACATACTTGGTGCTAAAGGTTAAAGGTTCACACCAACATGAGAAAGCACTGATCCAGAACAATGGTTGTCAAACTTGAGTGTCCATCAGAACTAGCTGGAGGGCTGGTTAAAATACACACTGTGGAATCTGGCTTGGTGGCTCCTGCCTGTATTCCCAGTCACTTGGGAGGCTGAGGCAGGATGATCCCAAATTGGACGTCAGTCTGAGCAACTTATCAGACTCTGTCTCAAAAATAAATAAATAATAAATGTTAAAAGTCTGGGAATGTAGCTCAGTGGTAGAGCACCCTGGGTTCAATTCCCAGGACTGCAGTGGGTGGGTGTATACAGATTGTGGGGTCCTATCTGGAGTGTGATTCAGCAGGTCTGGTGGCAAAGCAAAGAAGTGCATTTCTAACAAGATCCCAGGTGATGCTGCATGTTGGTTGGGGAGACATGTTTTGAGAACCCAGATGCATTTCTCTCATATGCTATTTCCTCTGGGTCTAACAACTTGTAGGAAATCAGTGTATCTAATTCAGTTATTCCACGGTATCTGTGGGGGACTGGCTCAAGGATCCCCATGGATCCCCAAATCAGCAGGTGTTCAAATCCCTCATATAAAATGGCATGGCGTCTGCATTGAAGCTTCACAGTCCTTCCGGATAGTGTAAATCACCTACGGATGACTTACAATACCAAATACGTCAATGCTCTGTAGATACTTATTGTACTGTATTGTTCAGGGAATAATGACAAGAAAAAAGGTCCGTGCGCGTGCAGTGCAGATGTAACCACCCCAGGCTCAACTTCATAATACATGAAGGAGACAGGAGAACATTCAGGTGGGCACTGCAGAGACAGGATCTGTGAACAGGCAGGAGGAAGGGGATGCCTACCCGTCACTTCGTTCACATGGATTCACTGTAGTATGAGGTGTGTGGCAAATTCAATTTTTGCTTTTTGGAATTTTCTGGAATCTGCCCCCACCCCCAGAATATTCCAGAAAAAGAACCCATGGATTTGGAAAACCGACTCTTCTTGTACAGGCAGACCAGGGTTTGAAGAAGGGGGGGTGGGGGTGGGGAGGGGTGACTCTGGGTTCTCACTGGTTCTAGGAGCTCCTGCGTCTGGTAGCCAGGAAAACCAGAGAGACCGTGACATTACCACAGACTGGGGCTGCCACTAAATCCTGGAACCCTGATCGTGTACACATGTGTGGGCATGGAGCAGGGTGGCAGCCCTGGCCAGCAGTACCTGAAGTCTCCACATGTTCCCACTGAGCACAGGGGTGAAAAGGCAGACTCTTAGAGGAAATGTACCTGCTGCACCTAAATCTGGTTGTCCACAAGGGTGTGGCCCTTGCCCCATCTTGAGTAACCCTCCGTGGTCAGATGTGGTCAACCCAGGGATTATCCAGGTGCTTCTACATTGGAGCTTTGGCCTGGTCTCAGCCCAGGGCTGTAGAAGGTGGTAGCAGGAGAGATGGGGAAGGCCTGCACAGGTTCTCCCCAAGGAGATAAACCAAGGACAGGGCTTGGGCCTTGCCACCCTTTCTGGCTTCTTGGATCCAGCACGGGGTGATAGGTGCTCTATGTCTCTGCTATCTGCAGTTGTGTGTTCCCATAAAGCCTGAACCGTGGATGTCTTCTTCCCACAGCCCAGACAGACAATTTTGCACACTACTTCTCTGCAGGTCTCAGGGCTTTCTATAGGTTGCTTCTGCATCTCTGACCTTCAACCTCTCTAACCAGCTTGACTGAATTTTCGGGAAGTCAAAGGGGCTGTGGGAACTTGGGACTCCATTGTCCCCAAATCCCTAAGTCAGGCCTCTCAGACCACTTGGAAAGGGAGAGGCATCACTTGACATTCCTGAGCTGCCACTGGGCCACTGCCAGGGTCTGTGGGGGCAGGGGGTGTGGGTTGACAGAACTGGCCAGCTGGAGCGACTTTTTGGAAGGGGGAGCTTTAGGTTTGAGGGGAGTCCCTCAAACCCCTGGAATGTAGCCCCCGTTCCTGCTGGACTCCCTCCCATTGCCAGCTGACACAGGCCTCTTATTGGACACAAGGAAATTGCTGCCCGCCAAGTGATACCAGCTGTTGTCGTAGAGCCAAGCGATGCATGCTAAGGGTCAGCAAGGCCGGGGCAAGCTCCTAGGGAAGCATTAGCCTGGAGGGCAAGGTTAACGAAAGCTCTGGGCCCCCCAGGACAGCAGTCACAAAGCGCAGGCATTGGTTCTGTAGCAGACACACAGAGTACTCGAGTCGCCGTGTTCAGGTTTGCCTCTGAGTGCAAAGCTCATCATGTCCTGAGCTGTTTGTTAGTCCTGGACACCGCTCCTCTGAGAAGGGAAGGGTTGGGGGGGGGCAAGGGCCACATCCTTGAAGGCATCATTCTGGTGGCAGGAGGTCTTGTAGTAAAAGGGGCTCCCCTCAAGTGGCCACCAAGGTGAAATGATGGTCAGTCATTAATCACTAGATGCAAATCAAAACCATCGTGAGATGTCACCTCATCCTTTACAATGGCTACTACCAAAAACCAAAGCATAAAATAACAAGTGTTGGCGAGGATGTGGAGAAACTGGCACCCCATGTACCACTGGTGGTAAAGTGAAATGGTACAGCCACTGGGGGACAGCGTGGGATGCTCCTCAGAGCACCGAACTGCCATATGACCCAGCAGTCCTGCTGCTTAACCCCAAGGTAGGGCCTCGAAGAGCTATTGGTCCATTTATGGCTACCCACTCAGCTTTCTGCATCTTCTAAATTAGGGACGAACCTAAGGCACGCTGCAGTGTTCAGTGAAAGGCATCTAGGGGGCTGGTTAATACTGTGGGCGCTGGAGCTGTGCTCCTCATCTGTGTCCTGGGGCCGCCGTGATCTCTGCACAGCCTCATGGTGCTGTGATCTATTTGTCTGCAACGTGGGGAAAAGCATTATCCACTATAGCCAAGAGGTGGAACCAACCTCTGTCCGTCCACAGATGAAGAGATCAATAGAATGTGGCATTGCAATACAAGGGACTATTATTCAGCTTTAAAAAGGAAGGCCATTCTGTCACAGGCTGCAATATGGATGAACATTGAGGACACTGCTAAGTGAAGGGAGCCAGTCACAAAAAGACAACTGCTCGTACGGTTGCACTGATAGGTGACTCATAGAGGCTGGAGAGAAGTAGAATGGTGGTGGCCAGGGGCAGTGGGAGGGAGACAGGGAGTTTTTAATGGATACAGTGTTTCCATTTTGCAAGATGAAAACATTTTGTAGATCTGTTTCACAACAATGTGAACAACTTACCCAACGCAACTGGACTGTACTCTTAAAAATGGTTAAGATGGTAAATTTTGTTATCTCATTTTTTAAAGCACATTTTTTAAAAATGGGAAAAAAGGAGGGGGCGGGAAGGCCATTTAACACATCTTCCACCTTAGAGATGAGAAAACTGCCGCCCAGAGAGCCGCGACTTCCCCGGGGAAGAGCCCCAGCAGGGCAGGCTTGGCAGACGGTGAAGTGTGTAGGCCAGGAGAACTGCTCGGGGCTGGTGGCCTCCAGCCCAGAGGCCAGCTGCAGGGCGAGATTTTTCTTTTAGGTGCTGGGGACCAAACCAAGCCCTAGTGTGTACCAGACAAGCATTCCACCCCTGAGCTACCCACTCAGCTTTCTGCATCTTCTAAATTAGGGACGAACCTAAGGCACGCTGCAGTGTTCAGTGAAAGGCATCTAGGGGGTTGGTTAATACCGTAGGCGCCGGAGTCTGCTCCTCATCTGTGTCCTGGGGCCGCCGTGATCTCTGCACAGCCTCATGGTGCTGTGATCTATTTATCTGTGGGGAACATAGTACTTCGTGATGCTGTGGGGTGGAAATGAGTTCACTTAAAGGGTTTAGAATCATGCTTAGCACCTGGTCAGCACTCAGATATCGGTTGTTCCTGGTAGATACTAAGGCCAGCCTGTGTTTGTCCCCTAGCCATCTCAGTTATCTGTTCACGGCAGCCCCACCGGGCGTCTCACAATAGCCAGTGGTACTACCTGGGCAGGCAGAGTGGCTCTGGGTTATAGGACCCCCTGCTGGGCCGCTGGGGGGTTCAGATGTCTCCTTGGTCCTAGGTCTGGCTGGGCCAGGAGTGAGCAGCTCCAGGCTCAGGCCTTCATCCTCCTTTGCCCTTGGATCCCTCAGGGTTGACAGAGAACAAAACAGAAAGAGGCCGATGTGTGTAAGACACTGAGGTCACCCCACG